TTTTTTCACATCATGTAACAAGAGACAAGGAGTCACACTGAATACAATTTTTATTCAACTTGTGAAATGAGCTGGAACATAATTGTAACTATAACTGTCTATTAACTATTAACTAACCATGTATTCATCTGAATTATTTGCATGCAAATAACCTTTTGGATGAGGGCGCCTATTGTAAATATATAGCATTGTATTGTATGACATGTATTTGGTCTTTTTTTTTTATTGTTTGATTATGTAATTTTTTCATATGACTTCAAAAACTTTATAGTCATAAATATAAATATAAAAAAAACGTTAAATACTATCTGTAATGAAGACACTGTTAAACAAGGACATTCAACACATTATATATTATTATATATACTGTAATAACTATGTTTATCAATATTTAGTAATGGCTTATGCTTTGTTGTTATTCTGCAATAAACTCATTATGAGGGGCATTTTGTTCAAAACACTACTGGTGTTTGCCTTCATAATGAAAATATTAAGTTAGCAAACACATGGGGGATTTGTGTATTCCTGTGTGGCTCCAGTGTTAGCTCATTATACTAACACTACAGAGGTTGGAGTTTAATTCCCACTGTGATCTGAACCAGGTTCATTGTGAAATGGAATGAAGTGGTGGGAAAATGACTCACATAAAACATGCGGTACATGTAGAATATGCTAAAAACACTAAGTGTTTCTTTCAGCTATGAAAAGATTTCATTAACATGTATTTCCCTTGTGGTTAATCATAAGAAGATCCTCTGCCGTGATGCTGTGGAAGAGTTTAAACATTAAAACTACGCTCCTTATTCTCCAGCAGATTGTTTTCCTCGAAAAAGAGGAGCACAGCAGGTGTGAGGTATGTTGGTTCATTGGTTGCTGGTGAACAGATCACTCTTTTGTATGGGCAGCGCCCCTACCTTGCATGCTTTAGTGTGGAGGTGTAGGCGCATTTTCTCGCCACCTGCCGAGCCAAAGAAAATAGTTCCACCCGTCTCAGCAAAAGGGCATTGTCGCGCATACAGAACTGAGCTGCAGCTTCATTGATGATCAACTGAGGAGAGAAAGCACTCAGTGAAGCATGGACTGACACTGTGGACATGACACTAGAGAAATTGCATACTTTGTTTGAAATGTATATTTATGCTTGATTAAAGCTGCCCTCTGGCTTACAATGTGCACTTCACTTTTCCTAGCAGATTGTTATAGGTATGAAACATGATGTGAAACACACTTTTACCTCGTGATGTGTGAGCTGCTTCCCTTCTCTCCTCTTGGAGTCAAAGCGTCCGTATATGAGACTGTACTTCCGGATCTCTTCTTCTTTGTTCACATCCTGGGACCCCATTTTGAAGATGTGCCCCACAGTCTTTGCCATCTTCTTGTTCATCCTAAGAAGGGTCTTCACCTCTGCAGGATCTGATCTGGGCAGGGTCCTGAGGAGCCTGTCCACGCTCTCCACCACCGCCCTCGCTGTCTCCCCATCCAGCTGTCCTCCAGGCCAGGCTGACAGGGCAGACGGGGTAAAAGAAGCAGAAGGGCTCGGGGACGTGGAGGGTCCTGGAGGACATGTTGACAGCAGCGGCGGGCTGGGCGGCTCCTCCTCTATTCCAGATGCAGAAGCCAAAGTGCAGTTTCCATCAGGCTCTGGGGTGAGCCAGTGTGGGTCCATGGGTGACAGTTTTTCCCTGTAGTGTGTGTCTGGTGGCTGTGGGGAGGCCTGGGAGCAAGGGCTTCTCGGACTCCCACTGTGCATTGGAGTAAGACACGTCCGGTCCTCCCTTTCACACGGAGACCCCGGCTGTCCATTGCTCACAGACTTCCTGGGCCCGCCTGCTGGTCCACTAGTGCCTGTCCCGTCCACTTTGAATAGTGGGATGCCCCCGAGAGGAACATTAGAAACGGGCTGGCTGAAAAGGGCAGGGTTCGCAGCCCAGTCTCGGAGGGCCTTCTGGAGCCTACGCACATGCAGCGGCTTGGTGGCCATGCCAACTAGTGCCATGATCTCAAGGAACTCCTCCTCTGCTGCCTCACAGAGCTGCTGCACGTCGTCACCACCCTGCTGGATGAAGGTTTCATAATAGGCCAGCAGGTTGGCCCTCTGCAGCACCCGATAGAGCTGCAACTCCCCAAGTGTGCGTGGCAGAGACATGGCACACAGCACTGGAAAGTTTAGGAAAGGAAAGAAGACATGAACCTGCAGGTGGAGAAATCCTCTACAAGTTACTTATTTAAATAAAGATGTTGCCACCTGGACTAGGTTTACCTGCTCCAAATTCTTCTATCTTGATGAAGCATAAATAAAAAAGCAAATGAATGTAGGAAGTTTAAACGCACGCGGAGGAGCATTAAAGTTTCCTCCATATAAGAACTGTTTTCACCTTTTTAACATGTTTTTCATTGTTGTTTGCATAAAAACCTGTTGGGGACTGCTCTCTTGCTGTCGAGCAACATTAAAAAACTCACTTAGGTTGGCCTTTCTATAACCCCATGGGTGTGCTCTGTGTGGTGTCTGGTTGCTGTAGGCTTCCTGTGCTCGTATGTGCGTTGTGTTTGTCCGCATCTTGAATGTTTTTCTCCTCTATGCGCTTTTGTGTTTGTGCTTGATGCACTTTGTAACCTGTGTTTAAAATATGTGCTATAGCCTATAAATAAAGTTTACGTAGTAACGCACTACTGAACCTCTCTTACCTTCTTCAGGTCAGGTAGACGGGTATGCACAGAGCAGACCGGCGTGATTACGGAAAGGTGTCTCTCCTCCACCACCGCTGTCACAGGTCGGTAGTCCCGGAGTGAAACTGCTTAAGAAATAAAAACTAATTTCGGCTGAACAATGAGACAAACGCACGTTACATTTAGACTAAACTAGACACACTTGGATTATTGTCTCCAGATAAAACCATGGATGGAGGCCAGATGTTCGCAGAAACACCCTGCTCAAAGACACATCGCAGTTGTTATCCTATCCGCGTCTTACCCTGTTGCCTATGGCCGAAAGCTTCCCCGGCTCAGATTGGCGTAGTAAATCCCCTTTGCGTATCGTACCTCGTCTGAAATCACTGGCAGAAATCCTCCTCCGGCGCACCGTATTGGTTGCTGGCTGCCCTGTCTGTGTGGGCTGGAGAATGACGGGGGCGGACTGCAGCACGCCATCTGACCGAAAAAGATCCTTCCTCTCCCGGTAGAGAGGCGGCTTTCAAATTGGAGATGTGGGTGGTGGTGGCGTGGGGGCTTGAAATTAACCCTCTGCGTCTTCAAGAGGTATATTTTATGCAGAGACCTGGGGGGGTTCCCACAGTTTTGCCAACACAAGCCTTATATGGAGAGCACAGATGTGACAGATGTGGGTTTAACTAAACAGTGATTCCCCTTTTTTTATGTGGGAGGTGGGTGGTCGTATTATTCCGAGTGTACAGGTGCCTTTTAATGCTGGTATTGCATTTATTCGCAAATTTAAAGGGCCAAACGTTCACACAAATGCGCTTAGCCTATAAATCACCAACAGTATCAATAAAATTCATGTTGTAGGTGCATCTAACACATAAGTTTCGGCCCGTGCACAACCAGCATCCGCAACCCTTACTGCTTTCTCACTTACTGCGACTATTTCCAATGTAGGTTTTAATGCACTATTTTGCAGTAATTATAATTACCATCATGCCACATGTCTGAGGGGCCACACCACACACAGTGACCGCATATGCGGTATTTATTGTGCACCTACTCTTTCATTGCCGTTTTAGGTGTGCCATGTTTCCAGATTCAGAAACAACAGAACACACACCTGTATCCATCCTGAACATTGTACATCCTAAACCCAGACATTTTTCATAGAGTACCTTGTGTTTTATCAACTTCCAGGGCATGCTGGTTGTTGCATTTTTGTTTTTTTGTCCACTTGCAAAATCATTTTCCTATTTGACAATAAGGTTGATTCATGTCAGGATTTAGTTTGCAGGATATGATTGGACTGAGTGGTAAGTAACAGTCTTTGCCTTGAAAGAAGAGGCATGGATTTGGGGCAGGTGGTAGGCTGTGATACACTTTTGTGATACCAAAGCCTATGTGGATAACAGTAGACCGATATGTGTTTAGTGTGGTTATTAGTAGGGAGTTTTTTTTTCTTATCGACCTCACTTGTGCATTGGGGCATTATCATGTGAAAACAAGCAAAGTCCTTCCTCAGCCACTTGCTGAAAAGTTCTTACACTAACACACTTAATTATAATTAGATTTTCCTTAATTGGAACTAAGGGACCCTGTCCAAACCACACGGACAAATACTTTTGGCCATGTTGTCCATCCTGCTCCGGGTAGGCCTATTTGTGAAGCCTCGATTATATAGGTAAATAACTTATAAAAGGATAAAGGACTGTGTTATCATGTATAGCGTATTTTAATAATATGTGCACAGTGTAATGTAATACTATATTTATCAAGGAATATGTACCAAAAAGGTTGTTAATTATCAGCTATATTTACAAGTCAATGGGTGGCAGTAGTGGTTTTCTGACTGTTTTAACAGTCAAAAAACAACGAGGAAGAAGAAGTGGGCGGCAGAGGAGGAAGAAAGTAGGAAAAGGGGCAGCAGCAGAAGAAGAAGTGGCTAAAAAAAACAACACGGACACTTACTTGGCTGTCTGTTAACAAACAAGGTTACACAATTGTGTGAGAGGTATATATGACATCTAGTTTGTTTGAATGCAAAATGCTGAATAATTTGCCTTTTTACTGGACTCGTCCGGTGTCCAAAACATGCCTTATTTTACTTGTGAAACCCCACAGGAAGAGGAAAGTGGCGTAAATGTTAGCTAGACCAGCTCGCTACTGTTATTAGCTAACAGGTAACGTTAGCTGCTCGGTTGGCTGTATGCTAGGTAAAAGCGTTAACAGTTAGCTGCTGTGCTGTCGTTTAATCGTCGTTTGAGACCTTATTTAGTCGAAATATTGCCAGGTTAGCCTGCCAGAGGTAAGCTAATTTTAGCCCCTAAAGCGCCTGTCTGTCATCCTGCTGGCTGCTTACCTCATGCTAATAACAGGCTGTCTGCTAACATTAGCCGCCTTTAAAACATCTGGTGCTGCTGTCGGTGTTAAAGTAATATCAAATTAGTTTGTCAGCCTGTTCTCCAGACAGGACTGACCGTTTTGTAATGGCTGTTTTTTCTCGGCTGTAAAAGGTCAGACGTTGTGTCTTACAGCCCGTTTTTAGACACTTCCTCTTCAGCTAACTGAGTTAGCAAACAACTAAGCTGAATGTAATGTTGCACTACTAACGTTTCACATGTACGTGTTAAAGCAGGTTTGAATATCTCATTTAACTCATGTTCACTTCTACAACGGCTGGACAGATAACAGGTCACGTATCTACATTACATGTACGTTAATGATTAATGAATAATATGACTCATTCTTAATATTTCTTATTCAGGAACAGCTCTTCCCAAACCGTGTTGTTATACAGTCATGGTGAAAAATATTTAGCTCCAAATGATCTCCTCGGGTAGCAGCAGATGTAAGGTAAACACTTTTGATTTATTTTGTTCCCCAAAATGTAGTGTTAATTTATTATAAATGTAGTCCTCACAGGGCTACAGCTAACTATTATTTTCACGGCTGATTCATCTGTCAATTATTATTTCTTTTAACTTTTTATTTTATAAAAAGTCAGAAGATAGGCATCTTCACATGTCTTGTTTTGTCTGACCAACCGCTCAGGCCCATTGACATTAATTTTACAATGATATAAAACAAAAAAGCAGGAAATAGAAAGAGATTGTTTGACATTTTTGTTTGATAAATAACTTAACTGGTCAGTCTGTTATCAAAATAGATGGCAGTTTGTTTTCTGGTGATCGACCAGTCAGTTATTAGAATAATAGTTTGAGCTCTGATGCTCTGTAGGCTGTGCAGTATGGATGATATTTTATTGATGGATGTATTGCTTGTGGATTTTCTGGAAAATTAAAGTGTCTAGATGAAATAACCAGATGTAAGTGTTTGTGGCTAACCCAGTAAATGAAACACAGTGGTCTAACACATGCAGAGACACTCCTTCCGCTCTTATTCTTCCATTAAGGTCTTTAAGTGCATTACCAGAAACATATTCTTCATTCAGTTCTGTGTATTTACAATGTGATTGTAAGCAGTAATGTTGAACTCTTATGTGTTGCTTTTCAGATAACAACCTGATGCATGATGTGAGGTGTGTTAAAGCCTTTTGACATCTGCTGATATGGTGGACTTGAGACTGACCCTCAGGAGCCCCCAGCCTCACTTTGTTATGAGAGTCTGGGGAAAATGTTGCCACAGGTTATGGATCTAGGACATCGTCTTTCATGAGATTCCGATTTCATATCGCTTCAATCAAACAGCTGTAAGGACCATGGAGAGAGAAGCAGCTGAGAAGGAGATGGATGGTGTTACAGACACTGATGAAGAGATCCCCGATGGTGTTTCCGCATCAGTTACGAATTCTAGTCATCGGGAGGCTGGACAGACCGTTGATGCCTGTGAGCAGGAAGACAAAACTCAGGACACCCCAAATCCCGCCACTCCACAAGACTCTGGAATAGGTGAAGCAGAGGATTGTGGATCTACTGAGGCCAAAGAGGATACTGAGGAGGCTTCAGATGGGTTCGAGCATGACAGCACTGCAGATCACGAGAACTTGCATGTTATTAATCAAGAAGAGGACGAAGCTGCCAAGGAGCAGCACATGAACGGGGAGTCTGGCTGGAGGAACGTCGGAGCTGGAAGGAGATGCAAACTGAGGAGCAGTGGATCAGTTTCAGAGCAGAGTGGTCAAAGTGGTTTTTCCACCATTCAAAAAGGCAATGTTATGTCAAGCGGTGGCCGGCACAAGCAAACCCGCAGACGTAACCACCACCACCATCAGCAGAACCGTGGCCGCAGGCGGACAGGCAACCAGCTCGCCTTAGCCTTCAAGGAGATGCTGTCGGAGTCTCTGAGCTTCTGGTGCATCTCCTGTGTCCACATGATGATTGAGATTATTGTCACATTAACTCACAATTGTGGAGTTGGCGTGGAGACGGGAGGGGTGAAACTTTACAACTTTGGGCAGCAGCTCCTTGCGAAGATCACAGACACAGCAGGAATGAAGGCGGACGCTAGCCGGATTCTGAAATGGATTAAATGCACAGGAACAGACCTGGTGGATAAAATAGTTAGGTCAGTGAAGTGGGTTAAGACAGCTGCCTTATCTTCTTTGAGACTTTTAAGTGCTTTGGTTATTCTTGGGTCCCAGTGGGCGAAGGGTGTGTTGTTCCGCCTTGGTGGAGAGAGGGGAAAGCGCTATTGGACAGCTTTTCAGGAGTCAAGGTTTTGGAAGAGGCTGGTGTCCCTGCTGGAGAGAGTCCGAAGCAGGTTCAGGAGGGATGGATGTGCACCGCCGTCCAGCCCTGAGTCACCTGGCAGAGCAGGGAGAGGCCAGCCAGGCCAGGAGCTGGAGAGACTGCTGGCCTTGGCTGAGGTACCAGAGGACGAGCTGGACCCCTTTACAGTGCTCGGCGTGGAGGTGCATGCTACTGAGGCTGAGCTGAAGAAGGCCTACAGGCAGCTGGCCGTCCAGGTGTGTGTGAAGTGCCTGTGCTCTGAGTTAAAAATACAGGATGGCTGAACTAATGACTAATAAATTGTATCTGAGGCTGAAATGTTCTCCTTTTACTCATGCAGCCTTTTCCTCTGTCCTTTCTCTTTCAGGTCCATCCAGACAAGAATAAACACCCACGAGCTGGAGAGGCTTTCAAAGTATTGAGGGCTGCCTGGGATATTGTCAGTAACCCAGAGACACGACGGGAGTATGAATTGTGAGTACACAGAAAGAGTGGTTATCAAGTATCTTCAAAAACATTGATGTAGTAGCTCGTTTCTTTGTTTTAGGTTGATTGTTTTAAAGTTCACAATGTCTTCTATTGAAATAAATGTGGTCAGTGAGACGAAAATTGTACAGTGATGTAGACCGTGTTTAAATCCTTCTGCCTGTTGTGTTCATGTCTGACTAAACCAGTCTTTTTCGTTCCCACACAGGAAGCGTATGGCAGCGACTGAGCTCTCAAAGTCCATGAACGAGTTTCTTACTAAACTGCAGGACGACCTGAAGGAAGCCATGAACACCATGATGTGTACCAAGTGTGAAGGCAAACACAGGCATGTCGCCACACAACCAACACCACCAACTGAAGCATAAGTTAAACATTATGTATTACACGCCTCTGAATCCTGTCTCGTGTAGCAGACTTTCACCACAGTCATTCACACAATTGTGTTTCCTTTGTGACCTGTGTGTGCGCAGGCGGTTCGAGATGGATCGTGAACCTGCCGAGGCCCGGTTCTGTGCTGAATGCAATCGTTGCCATAGTGCTGAGGAGGGGGACTTGTGGGCTGAGTCCAGCATGCTGGGCCTTCGCATCACATATTTTGCCTGTATGGATGGCAAGGTCTATGATATTACAGGTGAGCGTCAGCTTTTTGTAAAGATTATCTGCTCCCCTCATCAGTAAATAAACAATAATGCCTTCTCATATGTGATCAGTATCCGACCCACTCGATGTATTCTCAGGTTAAAGAAAAGCTTCAGAGCCCAGATAGCGCGGTATATCCTAGGTGCACCTTTTCTCTCAGTCATGTGACCTGTTGTGATGCTGTCACGTTTCAGAGTGGGCAGGCTGCCAACGAATAGGCATTTCTCCTGACACGCACCGTGTGCCCTATCACATCTCTTTCGGTTCAAAGAACAACAGCAACTCCACACGACACAGGTACGTGCCTTCAAGTGTTTGGATACATCCGGGCAGTCAGTGACAGCCAGTACCCACCTCCTCCATAGTGCTAAGGCAAATTATCATTTTGTCCTCCTCTTCCTCATTTAGGCTTACATTTTTGCCTCAGATTTATCCATAAACTAATTTTGGCAGATAGTTTGGGGGGACTTTACATATCTGAAACATCTGCCTTAGTGTTCTTGTTTGAAAATATGAAGCAAACACCAGTGAGAGACTGAAGAGTCTTCCTTTTAGAGATGTGGTGCTGTGAAAATTACAATGTTTTAAGTATTGCAATATATGGTATCTCAATTACTGAAACAAAATTAGGATGCACTTTAACTCTTTTGTTGACATGTCAATTATAACTAACTTGTAATAAGTCCTTTCAGTGTGATTTATACATTTTCCAGCACCCTAATGTGTCTAATGTGTTGTGCACTGTTGTGATATGTTGTCTTACATATTTCAGACATGAACGTGATACTGGCCCTTGTGGTGCAAGTCTTTAAGGATTGAGGCTTCTTTTATCACATTTGTATTTTTGTCTGTTTAGTACTAATATTAGAGTATAGTATAATGTAGCATATTTGTCCTACTTTATCTTTTATTTATTTACTTTTATTTATTAATTTTTAAATTTTTTACTTGATTAATCAAGTCGATAGATCGTGGTTGCCGATGTACGAGGGCTGAATGTGCTTCTGTCTGTCTGTCTGTTGTGTTGATAAAATATAAACACATTTGTATTTTTAATCAAGATAAACTTTATGTTTAAATAGATTATCATTGAACCCCTAATGAGTTTACAGTTGGCCATCATTTTTGTTGCCACATGAACATCTATAAAAGCAGAAACAACAATGAGGCTCGAGCACAAAAGATCTCTGAACTTTCCCACTTTCACTTTCAGGACGCCCTCAGAGCCTGCCGCAGGTCCGACCAACCCCGCAGATTTGCAGGACTTCTTTAACCGCATCTTCAAGGGAGGACCTGCCAATGACATGGCTGCCAATGGGGGCTTCTTCCCCTCAGGTCCACCCCATCATAATGCACCTGGTGCTGGAGCACCCCCGTTCTCCCCTCCCCCAAGCCAGTCAGGTTTCTTTATGCCAGGGAGTCACCGGCCAGAGTCCAGCGAGACATGGGCTGAAAGTGGCAAACCCCCCAGAAGGAGGAAGAAGGTCCGCAAACCCTTCCAGAGGTGAGGTCTGTGGATCAAAATAGCAGCACAGGGACACAATGAATAATGGCCATGTTTGTCTCTCGCCTGCCTGTTGGCATGTCAAGACCTGAACTGGAGAAGATTCACGTGAGAGAGGCTGCGTCAGATCGGCCAAGGAGGAGAGACTGGATCACGAAGAGGAGCCTGTTGACTGAGTACAAGTATTGAAGGAGGGTTGAAGACGTGGCAGTGATGGTGCTTTACCTCTCATTTCACGTTACTTTTTGTTGGTGTTTAAGACAGCTGTAGCCTTGGCATTGAAATCCTTATCGGGATGCTGTAATGAAACATTTTTTTTTTCCTGCCAAATCCTGCAAAGCACGATTAATTTACTTGCATCTTAACAGTTAATTTCTCTCACTTTTGTTTATAAGGTTAATTTAAGGCATTGGTTCAGAGAGAGGGACTGTGAGTTATGGATCACTATAATCAACATGAGGAAGATGTGATCTGGGCAGTTTCACTGTGTCAGTGTTATTCATGTTAGCACACATCCACTAAATTTACAAAAACAATAGAACATTTTGAAAACTTCTAGAAACCATGTTTTTATCGGTAAGCTCCCCTGTCTGCTTTTATAGTAAAACCAGAGCAGAGGTGTGAGTCTCTTGTAGTGTGCCCACAGACATGAAGGGAAGGCAAAGAATATTTAAGTACACATGCCTCAGTGAAAGTCACATGCAGTCAAGCCCCAGCATGAGGGATCCACTGAGCTAACTAGCATTAACATTAACAGGCAAATTGTCTGTTAAACAAACCTGATGCATATTTAAATATTACCTGAGTTTTTCTAGAGTTGTGAAAAAACAAATTTGTTCTCTGTAGAAGTTCAGTTTCAGTGGTTAGTTGTTTCAGCTCCAGATTGGCCTTTTTAATTACAGCGCAGGTTCAGCTCTAACAGCAGGAAGGAGTTCAGCAGTGTTTCTGTAATACTGAGCTGCTTTGAGAAGGTCCCACAACTTTAAGTGTCACCTTGACATTTTGAAATGTTGGTACTTTTCTAAACCAGGGATGGGTTGCTGTTTAAAAGACCACATTGACTTGATCTATACTGCCCCCCTTTGATTCAAAGTGTAATCACACGAAATGAAAATGTTGCTCACAGTTCAGCTGATTTTCAAAGCTAGTAATATAAGCTAGACAATACAACAGCTAACAGCCATTTGACTCTTAAATGTATGTAATTTGATGTCAGGAGTTGTGGTTATTTATAAATATTGAAGCAAGCCGCACCTGTATGTAAACTTACAGTGCTTTTACAATTAGTTTTTTTTGTTCACCATAAGCATTGTTAATTTTGTTTGATCGGCAAGGTAAGCCTTGAATAAGACAACAGTTAAAACACTTGTTGCATTTGAAACATCTGCAATATGTAAATTTCATATAGTTGATTTGTGTGGTTGTGCACGCTGCTACTGGAAAATTAACGTTCCAGTCGTCCAAATATGATCATCTGGGTCCAACTTCCTGTAAAGTGCCATTTTTTGCCAGGTAGTTTTTGAGGGGCATGTTAAGACATGACTGTCACCCAGCTCAGGACAAGTTGGGAAAATAATCTACCGTAGAAAAATAAACAGTCTAAATAATGGTGCTACTCCTGAGTGTCAGATTTGTTTCTAACTGTCTTGTTTATTACTTTAAAATGTATGCATTTTCATCTTATTTAATCATCTCAGTGGCTCCTGGCAGCGACAGGTGTGCATTCATGTGCTATAACCTAGGGTTTTCTTGTGGTTAATGCTTCCTGGATGTGGTTCAGCTTTCAAAATGTCAAGGTCACAGGTTCAAAGAAAATATCATCTTCATCAGTTTTATTGTATCTTACAACATGAAGGGGTCAGAAAAATGACAATAGGTTGTATTTTGGGTTTGGTTTCTTGATAAGGTTTTTGCATAGAGATAATTTCCTTTTCATTGTAGGTTAATTTAAGAAAACAGAACTATTGTTTACACCTGATATGTGAAGGTTATGAGAGTGTGGTAAAATGGCTTTTATGTGTGATTAGGCATTTGATAAAGGCTATTTTTTATATTGACAGTTAATATGAAAAGTACCATATTCGTTGTTTTGGAATTGTGTTAATATGCACACCTGCCCAGGTAATAACATCAGAAGGATTCAGAACGGTTATCAGCCTAACCAGACTCCTCCAGCTGCAGCTGAGTGGGAGGTGTGCTAAGCTAACAGCTCATTTGCAACTAAGATTTTTTTTTTTGGTAGAATCTGAACATTGAATGAGTGACAATTTAAAAAACAAGAGTTGAGTTGCACAAACACTACACTCTGGAGAAACCCAAATCTAAGAACTATCTTATGGCATTATAATGCATACCGTGGGTTTGTCTGGTAGCTTGAAAGATGACCCTTTATTGCACTTGACATTAAAGAATAACCATGGTATTTTTCAACCTGGACCCTATTTCCCCATGTTTTTTGTGACAAATTGGTACAACATTGTTTGAAATAGTAAAGAAGACCCTTTTTGTTTAACCAGAAACAGTTACTATATTGCTCTCACCAGACTCCATTGACAACCTCACAGAGCTTGGGAGATGCTGGTCTACCTGTGGTCGGTCGGTTAGTTTGTTTGTTATTGTGTGACTTTGGTGTTTTAAAAAAATGGCCCTTTAAAATGAAACCAACTACTAACGTAATGTTATAGGTCCTGGATGTTGGTCATTCTGGTAAAAACTATTTGATAGAAAGCAAGGTTACAGCTAAGCAAGAACTACAAGGACTTGAATTTGTTTTTCCAGTTGGGCAGCGTTAAATTCAAGATTGTTACTGTGCGATAGATAATCAGAGCGAAATCAACAAAAATGACTTAAGTACATCATTCACAAATTGGATTAATTTGTTCCAGATTTCTTTTCAAAAATGTGCAATTTTTACATCTCACATACTCTTGGTGGATGGCTTCACCGTCCAAGTTCCTATCCACATGATGGTCATGATGTACCATCAAATATCTTATTCAGTACCTATCTAGGAAACTGGATTCGCAGCTGGAACCACCTTGTACAGAGTGGGTTTATTTTATTTTATTTTTTTCTCCACACGTCCACCTTGACATGAGAATGTACAGCTCTTTATGTTGAAGGTAGCAGTCCGAAGTCCAGGAGGTCAATGAAAGAGCCAACACTACAGATTCTTTTCTTTTGATTTTTTTTTAACAGAATATGCATAAGTATTGCAAAAAATATCTGACAATCATCAGGGTGTTTTGTAGGGAATTGTGATGCGAGTTCCCTGGCTGGCAAAACAGTTTTAAAATACCACTGTTGGGTTTCTTTCCCCTGCTTTTCAAAATAAAAATGATTTCCTATATGCACATTGTTGTTCTGTTATATGCTCAGTATACATAACCGAAGGTTTCCCAGTGCACATCAAAGTTATACCACTTTAAACACACATGGTTACATTGAAAGTAAAGTTACACATCATTCCCAATATTTTCATAAGAATCTGTTTCCGACCTTTAGAGGAGCTCGTCAGCCTGCAGGTCCCATCCTTCAAATAGGCTTAATATTTCATTTTACTGTAAACCCACACTGAAAATGGCTCTGTTACTGTTTTACCCCATACGGCTTTTCCATTCTCTGACCTTATTAACTAATGGTGCTATTGCCACTGAACGAGCGCTAGGCATGTCTATCACGCTGCTCCTTAAAAGGAGTTGTTTCAGAGAGCTGCAGATTCCTGCGCAAGGCTTGATTTGAGTCTCATTCACTCACTTGACTGAAAAATGTGATATCACTTTTCATAACTGCAGCTAAGACTCCTTTGAATCCACGAAAAAATCCTCCAGATAAGTCAGAAGCAGTCTTGTGACGCCACATTACCTTTCCTCTGGCAGTGAAGCGTTCCTCAGCTGTCCAGCAGTGAGCACTGTACTTTCTTTTAAATAATGTGATCTATTTTCTTAATGCAACATGTAGACAAACTCTTTAGCAGTGTTTAATAAATGACTATCAGGTCTGAGCTAAACAAAATTCACAATAATAAAGCTTGTTGCAGCTGCAAGGAGGAAGCCAACATACTGGATCGCCACAGCTGGACAACTTGTCACTCACAGAGGTCAACACTAAAGCCGACTGACAAACGTTCTTGTGATTGTCCGAACTTTCTGCTGTCTCTCTCAGTGACCCACACGTCTTTTAAGATGTAAATCAGTGGTTCCCAAACTTTTCCTGTCAATCCACTCTTTGACCCCCACCTCCCAACTCCCGGGACACGGATCGATGGATTAAATTGTTATCAACTGGGAACAATACTGGGAACATAAACAGCATGTTTGTGTTTTTTTTTTCAAAAAAAGAAACAAGGCTCTCTTAGTACTGACTGAACTCGAGATGTGAGTTGATTCAAAAAGGGACTTCTTGTACTTTACATACCATTTTGCCTTCTGAACAAATCTTTCTAAACTGAATCTTGACGATCTTGTGATGAACCACAGCACTTCTTTGTTTATTGTCCACCCACATCACTCCCCCACCCCCTGAATTTTTCCCTCCAGCACCACCGATTAAAACTAAAGACCAGACAGTATTTGAAAATACTATTTGGCCCAGACCGGATGTTCATCTTGTAATATGCAAATATATTTGGTTAAAAATAAGACAGTATTATTTATAATTAAAATATTGTATCATGTACCCCCATATTCCTCACTCTACTAAAACATGAATATGATCCTAAATGCAACAATAACTTATCCAGCTTGTGCTGATTACAGCTTGCCTTTGAGAGTTCCCACGACGCTGTGCAGCTGAGAACAGTCCCGATAAGCCACCAGGCCGCCTTGGTTAGCCCAACGGTCTGCTCCTTTACACTCAGTGTAAGGCTGGTGATAGGTCAGTTCTGTCTGCTGATCCTGTGCTCCAGAGCTGAACTGTAGACTCTTGGTCAGGTCCACCACACCCCCACCGAGGGCTCGGAGCAGAGCGTGAGGAGCACAGGAGTCCCACTTAAAGGTGCTTCCCTCTGAGAGGACGTAAACATCAGCAAGCCCCTGAATGACACACAGGATCTTGTAGCCGGCTCCAGAGGCGTACATCAGCTTTTCAGGGCCGCACAGCGAGGTCAGGGCTTCCTTTACCACCTGCTTCTCACTGGAGCTCAGCACCACAGACAGTCCCCCTCCAGGTGCATATTTTGGACGGGACACTGAGCAGACGTTGACGCTGCCACAGGACACCCCCCAGAAATGCTTCCCCCTCCACCTGTGAATGCAAATTATTAGTGGTTGGTTGAATATAGAAGTTAAAGCAAGGCACAGTGGAAGAGAAAGACAACATCACAACACCATCCCAGAATGATACCAAAGATGAGTAACAGTTCATTTCTTCACTCGGACAAAAACCATCAACCCTCACCATTCATTTGGAGTCGTGTTCTGGCCACATGAACAATGCATGTCCAATATTCACTCTTTTTTATGTCTCTACTAATTCCTCAAGGAAATATCTGGATCCTTAGCTCTAATATGTTCACCAGCTCGTCTCTCATTTTGTCTGTCTGCTGTTTGATGCTGAAAACAGCTGCCTGCTGTGGCTGAAAATAACGCTATGAGAGCGGTGACTGTAAAGCTCCACAAAGCCGAGCTGTAGATCCAGGTGATAATTCTTTGTAGGTTCATCACTGCGAATGAGCCCTTTCACATTGTCATTTGTTACAATTTTATTATAAAAACAGTGATTATAGCCATTGTATGGATAAAGACTGGCCATGCAATCAACTTTATAACCTCTTGGTTACGAAGTTGTTCACAAGGTTTAGGAGTTTCACCAGGTACTAAGTCACTTCATCATCTAAACACGTGGTTTTCTGACACGTCGAGTATCTGGTCAGACTCAAACTGGAAAAACCTGAGCTCACAATATGAGTTCTGGACATGTGAGGCAAAGAAGAAAGCGAAGAGAGATCCAGCGATAAAGACAGAGAAAATGAAGGTTCACATACACACGCACACTTTCAAACATGCAACTCTCTATGGAAAGGTGATGAAAAGTTTCACAAGTGAAAAAGAGCCCGAGCCAGTTCTGCATAAAGTCATCACGATTTTATGCAATGTTGTTGTTAGATTAAGATTAAGGCAGCAGTAGATCAAGGTCAAACACACAGAGTGTAATGTGACACGCATGTTTTCCATTTGTATTTTTTATTATAATAAATACCTATTTGACAGGTAGAGTTACTTGTTACACTGCAGGTAAGATTTTACGTACAAAACAACTGAATAATAATAAATAATAATAATAATAATCATACAACTCTGACAATATTTCATCTTAATATTCGGCAACCTGCAGCCTATTTGGTAACTATATTACCAAATTAACTATAAGTTAAGAACTGTGGTGGAAATACTTGATTAAGTGCAATGTTAAGTAATCCAATACTACAGTATTTCCATAAAGTGCTAAATACCTTTTGATCCTTATGTTCAGTTATTGTAGACACTGTCGTTGAGGTGTGATGAACCTTCCCATACTGGCAGTTTGCTGGTAGGAGTAGCTGCTTGTACCTGCCCATCTGGGCTAGGCTTCCTAAAAGGCATAAAGGACTGCCCTGCTGGGAGTCTCACTCCATCTAAGCCAGGCCTACTACATCGATCGCCGCCTTCTTGACGCATGAAACACGGCAACATGCATGAAACCATATTTTATGACAGATGTCTCTCCTACTTACACAACCCACCAGTTGGCGGGTTGGTGGGTCATTAGTGTGAGTTAAATAAATTACTTTTTGACTGATATATCTGTGTGTGGCCAGGCAGAAACAGAGGTGTAAATTAAATTTTTTAGCATTGAGATCATAGTTAAAGATGGTGTTGTACTGGATTGCATTATGTTTAGAGGTGTTTCTAAATGGACTGTACTTGTATAATGGCTTTTCTAGTCTTCCATCCACTCAGTGTTTTAGACCATTTAGACTACATACATTTACTATACCTACATGGATGGCAAAAGCTACCATGCAAGGACAAGTGCCCAAGGACACTTCGATAGCCGGGGATGGACCTGCCAATCTTCTGATAAGTGGGCGACCTGCTCTACCTCCAAGCTACAGCCACCTGACATCTTTTGTCATTATTATTATATAATGTTGGCGAACTCTTTGCTGTTCGATTGCCAGGCAAACAAATTTAGAGACAGATATGATTAGGGAGGTGTAATAACGAGTGTGTCATACAAATTAAATTTAGATAAGATACGAAACTGTTTAGAAAACAAAAGAGCCCTGTGAATCTGCCTATAAATGCAGTGACAGCTGTGTGTATGTTTAAAAATGTCAGAAACTCAGAGGTAGAAGAGGAAATGTGGTTTCTGTTTTTAAACGTACCCTCCACCTGCTGGATCTCTGTAGTTGAATGGCTGGTTGATGACGCCCATGACGGGCTCGCCTGTTCTCCGGAGATAAACCCCGATTAGGACCAAAGCACAGTGCAGACCTGAAGGAAACAGGTGGCCCTCCTTTAGCACCTCCTCTCGGCCCTCTATGTACTGGCTGGTGGCATCTTAATGGAAAGAAAAGGCAAACGGTAGTCACCGAGGCTCTACTCTCTGCAGTGTGCTGGAGTGAGATTCTGCAGCAGCCAGCCTTTCACCTATGGGGTCGATCCAGATGCCGAGCTCAGAGGGGCTGAGGGGCACTGTCAGACCGTCGGTGTTGGCGTCGATGGTCGCCGGGTCTTGGTGGATGGCTCGAGCCAGCAGAGATGCCGCCGTGTGGTCACCGTCCAGCACCGAGGCCAGCAGCATGGCGGTCTCCTCCTCTGTACCGCACACTGTTACCGTCACACTCTCTCCTGGTGACACAGTCAGCGAGACTTCATTTGGTTATTTTAAATATTTACACAGTACAATGAGCAGTGTGTGTAAATAACTGGACACGTTGATGTGGTTGGCTTTATGTTCAGATTATTTTAGATGAAAGATGATATAGTCACTGTGCGGTTCAAGTGCAGATCATTAGTTCAAGTGTATTTTTTTTTTAAATCTAGTATTTAGAATGATTATTACTATACAGCACTTACCTTTTAACAGGTAAAAAGTTCTATATTCCTGCAGATACATCACCGGATTTTTTTTTATTATCAGGTTCTCTATTTCAGTTTATCACTCTGAGCACATCAATCATTAACAATACCTGGGAAACTACTTCTCTTGTTCCAGCTTCTCAAATGGAACGAATGGTTGATTTTCTTTGTCATATGTGATCATAAACTGAATATTCAAAACAAAACATGTGAAAACATCAGGTTGAGCAATGGGAAATTGTGATTATGAGAAATTGTGTTCTAACACAATTTTCTTAGTTTTTAAATACCAAACAATGTACAATTAGTTGCAGCACTAATATCAAATAAAATTAGCATGGTGCAAATTCTTAAACAAATTTGCAACCAATCACATGACGTGCCCACTTTGCCATGTTGATAAACCAGTTTTGTTGCAACACACCTAAACACTGAGATATGTGACTTCTGTTTTATATTCCTAATAGTGTTCAAAAGAAGCAGCAGAGCGATGCAGTGCTAGATATTATATTAATATTCCCATGCATGACCCTAACTAACCCTAAACAAGTGCTTCAGAATATGGACCCATATACACGTAGAATACCCTAGTACAAAGTACAAATTTTCTTGAACATAATCCCTGTCTGTCCAAACACTGTGGTTGTGCACATGAAGTGACCTTCAAAATAAAGTCTGCTTTAACCTCAGAGTCATTCACATCAAAAGTTTGCAAGAGTGAACATGTGTAATATTAAGTAATTACCAAGGCCATTTTCAAACTTGTTGGACTCCTCTCCTTGAATGAAGTTTGCCATCTCAGGGAACTGAACAAAAGAACAGGAAAATTATTACAATCCAACACGCAGTCCACCTCCAGTTCATTCAGACTTCTCCTACCTGAGCACCAACATCATGACGGATCATCTCCTGGATCACCACGTCCGCCAGCGTCTTGAAGTCCTGGACGAACTTCTTGTTCTTGTCATCGCCAGTCTTCTCTTGCACGAGGAGCTGAAAGAGGGGAGCTTCCTGCCTGCAGACCCGAGCCACGTTAGCCGCTTTCTCAGCCACCCGGAGCAGCAGCCTCAGCAGATCAGCCATGCCTGAGCAGAAGAAACAAAGAGGGGGTTTAGTCAACACAGAGATGGAAACTGTGTGTGTGAGAGAAGGAGAGGGGGAAAAAAAGAGACAAGGGAGGGTCACACTTGCACACACTGAGCTAATTATAGCCTCAAAATTAAAACAGGGCATATCTGAAAAAAGACAAGTGTGTGAGGGAGGGATGTGGCTTCAGGTCTTTGCATGTGAACCAGCACAGTCTCTCTGCTGAACCCAAATACAGATATGCAGCTCACAATCGTCTTCAAAAAACACTTTAGTAATCTCAATTTCTAAATAATTATTTAAAAAGCATGCAAACCTTTATAATAAAACTGCATATCATCTTATAGCACTATAATAGGAAAAGAAATAGGGTGTGTAGAAAGTGACTACTGAGTGCCTCCTACACACTGCTGAGTGCTATTAGTAATGTCAGAGGAATATAACAGTAGCTAGTATGTTATCTGTGGGTGGAAAATCATGAAAACTATTTGATCCATTTAGCGGTTTTGACTAACTGTAACGTTACACACCTTTTCTCCAGTCAGCTCACTATATTAACGGTAGTACGCTTAACATCCCAGGTTTGCTTGGGTTTAGCTTATCATTTATGAAGTTAGATAACGTAACCAAGGAACTTAAACGCCAGCGGACAAAAAAAAAAAAAAAGACAGGGTAAAATGACTGAAACCTTACCAAAACCCAAGTTAAACACTGCTTATTTCCCTCTCGTCGGCTGTGTTTTCCTGCACGCCCTGTAGTCACCGAACGCGGTATATTTAGTGACACCTGGATGTGAGAGGACAGAGAGTTTCAGTAAAACAGCGCTGGCAAAGCGCTTAATTATCACCGAGTTCCGTTTGCTATGGTTTCTTTGCGTCAGTGCGGGTTTCCTATAGCAGGAAGGGCTGACGGGGCTCACATCTAGGCCGCCAAGCAAAAGGTTCAGACAGGCGCGCCACCAGATGGAAGCACGGCAAGTTTCACAAGGTGTGGACAACAGGAAACCCTGCCGCGGTGCGTTCAACTGCAAATGTGAAATTCAAGCTTCCCGAATCGGAACATTGCAGGGGGATTTCCTTTCAAGGTAAGTGGGACAGTTTTTGGCAAATGCATATTTAGACTATAACAGCTTGTCTAGTCCATTTAATGTTATATTGACATAAACTCCATACGTCACCCTCTTTTGCTGAAAGGTAGCCTCCTTTTTTTGATTGAGTGGGACAATTGTTGGTAAAGTGCCACACTTACTTTAGCATACTGTGCATGTGAGCAAACAATGTAAAATATTTCTCTAGATATGTAAGTTTTATCAAAATTACATCCATACGTTCATTTAGCTGGTTCACTGTATGTTGCTACTGCTACTGAATACAATGAATCAGGAGTCAACATAGGCTACAGTAGTTGGAGATGAAAATGGATAGTAAAATGTGATTACACATTTTTTAATTAAAAGATAGAAAATTGTTGTTTGATTAAAAACAAATGTCATTTCCTGTAGGCTAATTAATATAACAGCAGGCTAGGCTAACTACCACTGCAATTTCATATATTCATGTCGGTCATGGTCTAATGAAGCCAACAGAATCACATCATCTGCAAAAGATTCTGATACTCTCCTGCCTCCTGCTGTGCCTATTCAGATCCTATCCATTAAAATAACCAGCAGAATCTGTGACAAGTGACCACCCCGGGGGGAGCCAAACACCCACTGAAAACGTGTGACGTCCCAAACACCGAATGGCTCATGGAAGTCAAACTCCCAAACCCAAACTCCTGCACAACCCCCCCACAGGATTGCTTGGGGGACACAGTCATAAGCCTTCTCCAGGCAACCCCCACCCACACGCAGTGTGATATGCTGATAATTTGAGCACACCCTCCGTGTGACATTTACGAGTCAAGACATCACAACAAATGGTCAGAGCCTTCAGCATCTCAGGGTGAATCTCATCCACACCTGGTGTTTTGCTGCTGAGGAGCTTCTTAACCACCTCAGAGACCTCCTCTGCCAGGGATAGCCTATGTTTGAGGCTTCTCCCGAGTCTTCAAATTTCCTCAAACGTTCCTCAGTGCTTCCACCGTTTGACAATATCCACAGTCAGGATAAGCAGTTCTCCCCCTGCTTTCCCTTTGTGAGTCAGCACTTTGCCAGAACATCCTTGAGGCAAACTGAAAGTCCTTCTCCATAGCCTCTGTGAACTCCTCCCACAACCGGGTTTCCCACAGCCCTTCTAGTATCCGGGTACCTGCCTGCTGCTTCAGGAGACCCCTGGGCCAACAAAGCCCGAAAGGCCTCCTTCTTCAGCTTGAAGGGCTCCTGGATGGCTTCTTAAGATGCCACCACAACAGGCACAGATGACATTCTGTACACAACTCCTAGTAGCCACCTCCACCAGAGGCTTTGAACATGACCCACTTCCTCGTCCCCAACCTCCAACCAACTCAAATTAGATTTTTCCTTCTCAGATAGAGGCTTTAAAAAGTATCCAATATTTCACAAGAAAAAAATCTGAATAAGTAAACATAATTTTGTGTACACACCCATTAAATCATCTTGTTGCTACCATAGAATTGAGACACTTTTTGATTTACAACTTTACATTTATATTGTGCTTCAGAGGCAGAACTATATCCATGCTAAGACCAGAATGCCAGGCAGACACCTAAAACATAGTATTTTTTATTATAATAAATACCTATTTGACAGGTAGAGTTACTTGTTACACTGCAGGTAAGATTTTACGTACAAAACAACTGAATAATAATAATAATAATAATCATACAACTCTGACAAAAGTAATTCTGCTGTCTGATGAGTAAGTGCAGAAATATCATCAGCAAAAGTGAAAATTATAATTATACCATCCACGCGATGAAGAAGTCCTCCACCTCTAACATTTAATACAACTACTAACACTGTCTCAATGTGTGACATCTGTTTATTTAACCCCTTTGGATGACTTCTCCTCACATTATTTTCTAAAAGAACACCTTGTTTCAACAGGAAATACTACAAATAAAACCAAGTAATTTTATTTTACTTAGGACTGCATCAGTGCTTAAAACCAACAACTTGGATCGTTTGAAAATCACACAGACCTCTTTTTATTGTCTGTGTGTATCTCAGATGTGAATAAACCTCCATACGTGTACGAACTTGCTGTGGCTCAGACTGCCAAACTGACCAAAAACTAAAAGGGCGGTCACTTATCTGGAAATTTTGTTTCATACATTTCCAACCCATGTTCAAATGTAATGATTATATTTACCAAATTAAGCCCCAGCAATCATATCTACAGATAAGAGAGAAGATCATCTCTGTCTGCCTCTGAAAGAGCACACTGTTTTAATAACTCTTCAGAAGTAAAGCCACAGCTCAGTAAAAGCCATCCTCAGTATCTCTCCCTATAAAACCTCAAACACACAGCTGAGTGCTATCAGAACACCATAAAAGCTATACAGTGTGTTCTCCACAAAACCTACATAATGTCTGTTCTCGTTTTGTAGCCGTTTTACAGCCAAAAGTAGGGCAAGATTTTGTATATGTAATGTTATGTTATGTAAATGTGTGTACGCATGTGTAACTTCAAAGTCACACAAGTTCTGGGACATTTGAGAGCGGAGTTTAAGAGAGTTTTATGCTTTTAATCTGAACTGCATCTATTCACAAAAGCACTTATTTTTTTCTCAGTGTCTATGCCTGAAACACACACGGAGAAATTTGAGCACAGTGAAATGACAAATTTTGCTAATTGGTTTTAGGTCAAAGCTATGACCACTGATATCCATTAGTCGTCCATTTTCTGGTGCATGGCAGATGAGAAGCCTTCATGTGATCAATACAGTTTAGTGTCCACAGTAAACTGGGCGGGGCAGTCAACACAAACTGTTATAAGCCATCATTTGCACTTGGGCTCCTTACAAGACAGAGGAGTTTCTTCAGATGGAGGTAAGAGAGACTAAATGTTTGAATAAAACTCTTTATTTTTATACATTTGAAAACTATTCCTAGATGATAACATAATATGATAACATAATATGATAAGTTGAGTGCATGCATCATGTTGCAAAGTAGTTCACGCATTGAAACATCCAGAAAAATCACAACATCCTCATGTGAGGATTCCCATCCTCAACACATCATTGAGTATGGGAATTGATTTAAATTGTTTGTTGCAGGCCTCAAAGGAGAGTATGTCCGATTTGGAGAACGGCATGGTCACTATTATCAGAGTTTTCCACAAATACTCGGGTCACAAGTGCAAACTGAGGAAAGCAGAGCTTAAAGCACTCATCAACAATGAGATGAGTCATTTCATAATGGTAAGGACTAAAAGTGTGAAAACTGGCTGATTGTGTCAGCACTTTAATAGCAGTATAATGCCTGTAATAACCATGGTCTGTATTTAAAGATGAAAGATTCATCTCCCCTTCCTCCCACTACAAAAATGAAGCCAAAATATCCCCAATATGGTCGCTGCTTTTACTGAGCTTAAAGTGAAAATTGCATTTAAACATATTTGAATGTTGCTGGCCAGTTTAGTCTAAAATATGGCAAATGTAGAGAGGTTTATCAAACAACATGCCTCTATCACCACCTTCAGGCCAAACTAGTCTCATCCACAGATGATGCTTTCTGGTATGTAATTGGCATTTCAACTGCATGGTGTCACTGGTATTTCTATAGACTCTCAGTAAAAATGTATTGCCCATTTCCTGGAAATGTTTCACTTTCATTAAATGTTCCTTCTGAACAGAAAATCCAAGAGAACGAAACTCTGGATGAGCTCTTTGCGGACCTCGACCAGAACGGAGACCTGGAGATTGACTTCAAAGAGTTCATCGCCCTCATCGCCATGGTCACCTCAGCATGCCATGAACTCTTCATCCCAAGCCATAATGAATAATTAGCATGTATACTCTTTACTCATTAAAAATATGAGGATCACAGAAACAGAGTGTCTGATTTTGAGTTTGAGTTATTAGTTTACATGAGCAAGATGCCTGAGAAGATTTTGACCAACTATCTTATTCACATTGTTTAGTGTAATAAAAGTTTGCTGCATAAAATAAAATGTGTGTATTACATTTATGACTGAAATATTTTTTTTCTATCTCAAGCTTCACCACAGATTCACAGTCTTAGATGACTTTCCATAAAATCCAGGATCTTCTTCCAGGCATCTTCCTGGGCAGCAGCGTGGGGTGCGAGGTGGCCTCCCCACAGAGTGATCACTGCAGGAGGAAAACATTCTATAATAGTACATATTCAATATTACAACAGCCTCGCATTAATAGTGTAATGACAATTACACTAGTGTAGTGTAATTCAGTTCTGGGATAGGGCTCACATTTTTCTGGTTTGACGCTCCACATGGATGCTCTTGAATTTGGTGCGTAGGGAGGTTCAATCAGGTGACCAGCACCGGGGTACGACAAACACGTGAACAGCTGGGATTTACCTGCAGCCCTCAGTGTTTCCTCGATCTGATGAACCCAATTGCTTTTTAGCAAACAACTAGGGATGCTTGAAAAATCTGTTTAATTTACAGTTAAAGTGAAGATCAAAACTGCTCAAATGTTTGACTTAATAAATACCAACTATATACCAAAACTCTTTAAACAAAAACGGTCCCAAACTACTTAATACATGCTTTCCAACATCAATAATTTGTAATGCTGGAAAATAAAAACAATAAAATAAGACATCTACCAGGTTTGCGTTCTCTATGCTTGAAGTGCTGAGGTCATCTTCACCCAGTATGTACATTAATGGACAGGGGAGGTGCTCCAACTGCAAAAAAACAATATCAAGTCATTCTGGAGCAAAGTTTCTCTAATTGATACAAAATATGGATCTGCATATTTATGTGATATTCTTTAAGCATGCATGTGTGTGTACAGTATGTGTGTTGCGGTGGGTTCAGGGGGTGCAGAGATGCTGTTTAGTCCTTCACATCACCTTCACTTTGTTCTCAGGGGCAATGTTAGCAGGCAAAGAGACCTCTCTGAAACTGGCATGGCCTTGATCATCATACCTCCAATATTTCTTCTCACTAAAAGGACAAATTAACACAGAAAGGTAACGGTTAAATACCAGAAAAGCTATTTTATCTCAATTGATAAGACGACTAACTGTTAATATATGAACAGTCCTTCAGACCAGATCAGATGAATTGATGCAATAATTCCAAAGTGATGTCTTAATATTAATATCCTACAAACTGCATCTTTAATTACTCTCTACCTGTCAAACAGTCCAGAGCTGCCATCTACATCTGGGAGTTTGACGACACTTCCTACTGGGCCATTGATACAAATCAAACACGATGGCTGCAGAGGAGAACATAAATTGTTGAAAGTCAATATGAACTTCTTCCTACTGCCTTGACAAATTGAATAAAAATCATAAACTTTTTTTTCTAGGCATGTAGTACATTTATTTTTATACATATTGATTCTAAACAAGCAGGTACAACGAGCCATGTATTGATCAAACTGCATATTTAGAAATGGCTGATAAACATACTTTAACACCAGTCTGAGTGGCAAGTCGAAGAGTCAGGTAGCCTCCAAAGGAGAGGCCGATGATCCCAACTCTGTCAGCACAGACCTGCTGATGACCTTGAAGAAGGTGGAATGCTGCCTGCCCCCCCCCCCCATGACGAAATAATTAAAGTACATGTGAGCTTCAGTGAAAAACACATGATGTCAGCACAGGGTAAAGTAAAGCCTGCATCTTATCTTACTTGGAAATATGAATCACCAACATTGAGGGTGTTTTGTGGGCCAGGCAATTCTTTGTGCCCTATGTAAGCAAGGGCCAGGCTAGCATAGCCCCTGGATGCAAACAGGGAGGAGCGGTACTCTGGCAGTCCCCCTCCCATTCCCCACAGGTCCATCATGGCTGGAAATGGGCCTGGGCCTGCAGGAAATCAGTACAGTAAGTGACGTTCAGACAACAGTCTTTCCACATCTGTCTTAAAATCTGAGTGATTGCTTCAAATCTTGTGCTCACCGGGTGGTAAAAACAACGTCCCTACAACTCCATCCTGCCGAATCTCTATTCTCCGTACGCCTGGTGCCATGTAGCAGCGCTCAGTAAAGATGGCAGCCAGCTCAGTGCTCTGTCTTTCACTGGGTGAAACGTGGCCCTCCAGTAAGGACAACAGCACGGTGTATGGTGTCTCTACGTTTTTTTTCCTCAGCCTGTAAAAGAGAAGAAAAAAAAAAAAAAAAGACTACATTTCAGTCAGGAAACTCTGTCAACCTTTGATTTACTGCATCAGTAACAAGAATTTGAAGCATCTTCTCCTGTAATGGTCAAGAACAAACCTGTGTGACACAGACGTAAACACAACATGATTAGGGGGTCTAGGGAGGTAGCAGCAACATAAAAATACATAGAACGTTCCCTCCCCGGTCCCCAGGCCAAAGTCTGAACAAATTGAGTGAGATAATTTATTCCCAGGCTACAACAGGCAAAATATCTGACAATAGTTCGAAGCAGTATGGCTCAGGGTAAACCAAGGCCTAAACCATCATTTGGTTTTGATGCCACAAACTTGAGCACTGAGAGCTTGTTTTCATCACTTGCCTCAAACCTTCTCTTGAACCAGGAGCCGGCTGCAGTCCCCAGAACAGTCCCATTGGCTCACGGCCCAAATATGAGCCCCCGACTGACTGATCGCTGGTCACTATTAAGGGGACAGAGAGACAGAGAGGTTACCAACTGCCTGCATGAAAGTCTAAATGGTTAAAGTAATCTGATCTCTAAAGGTTTCATCCACAATAAACAGATTAAATGTTAACTTGTAACATTTAACAATTTTACAACTATAACTTAATTGCAACTTTACACTAAAACCACTTTATTCAGCTCTTTTAGTGGTTCAAATCTCCTTATAAGTTCCTGTACCTGCTTGGACACTGGCTGTGCTTTTGCAAAGTAAAAAGCATTAAACTAAACTACATGCAATAAACTACAAACAATAAAATTGATTTTCCAGCATTTTCCAACACCTATTGGAGCAATTTATTACATCTATAATCTGATTATTGTGTTTTCTTCCAGCAACTGTAACAAGTTAATATATCAAATTTGTGGTTAATACATTTAATTACAAAAGCATTACATATACTCCAACAAGGAATGTACTATACTACACTACAAAACTCAGTGTGACTCACAGTTGACAGTTCCATCTGCATTTGTATTATAATGGGCGAAAGCCTCCCACAGGTCACCATCCTCACTGTGCATTTGTGCACACACTGTGACAGGACAGCATGGAGGCAGGAAACGTGCTTTGATGCTGATTTGTTCATCTATGAGGGCACGAACAGGAGCAGCCGTCAGTAGGGGGGCTTGTCTATAACTGCTCTTCCACCGAACTCCACCTACAGGTAGAAAAAAAAGTTAGTTATAGTTGCATCCTCAAGTACGTGTTACAAAGAAACTGAAACAGATCTTGCAGTATTTCACATAAATTCTAAAAAAAAAAAAAAGTGGAGAATTTTAACATTATATTTGTCGCTCGTCTACATCAACTTACATCCACACCTAATGTATCAGGATCAATTTGGGTTCATTGTCCAGCTCAAGGACACTTTGACACATGGAAAGCAGGAGCTAGGAATAAAATCACCAACCCTATGATTAACAGACACCCTGGCTACCTCCTGCCCTACAGTCCCCCTCCATCATAATACTGCATATTTCTACATCAGATTTTACACAATTATAGCGAACAAGACAGTTTGTTTTTAATTGACTTAGGTCAGTGGTTTTCAAACGGGGGTGGGCTCCCCTGGGGGACATAGTGCTACTGCAGGGGGGCATGGATGTTGAACAGTGCAAGAGAACCACTGACTTAAGTGTAGTAGTTCATGTGAGAAAACAAATAATGTTTTTAAAAATGCTATATTGAAATGTGTGCAATTTTCTTTTTTAAAAATCCCCGGTTTAGCAACTAAAACCTAATAACTTGTTCCTTGGCCCATATTCTAACTTTCTGTCAAATTGAACAGATATCTCTTAACAGGTTTTTGAGCTGCTGACTTACAGAAAACATAACCTCCTTGGTCGAGATGGCAGTCTGCAAAAATAATTACAACTGCTGTAACAATACAGGTGCTTCTTTGCAGCATATCAATTGAATAGTCATGGGTGACTATATATTTGAAGTACTACAGTCTAAAAATTTATTCAAAAATTACCTGTGTTCAGCATGATTTCTAGAAAATGTTTTGAGGTTATTTTACACTTGTAACAACAGTGACTATAGTGGAAATCAAATTCCTATTATTATCTCAGATTTTCACATGCTTTCATGTAAAATCAGATGTAGACATACAGTATAATAGTAGCATATATACACACATATTATTGTAGCATATACTCAGATTTAAAATACATGTCATTGCTGAACTCAGACACAAACTCTCCAATACAGAACAAACAATTATTCTTACCCACAGCAGGATGCAAACACGCCAGGTTCCTGTGTAGACTGATGCATGGTAGCATCTTCATGTCTATGAGCTGCCGTATTGTTGTCAAACTGATATGTGCTCTGACCATTATGGCGCTTTTTTCCGACCCTATAAAGAGAAATCAAACACTTCTGTGTCATGTCTATTTAATGAAATAAGGTTATCAATAGGAGCCAATTTCCGCCAAAACTAAGAAAAAAAAACAAAGATCCAGTACTTTGTTTTTACTTTGCTTAATTATAAATGAATTATAATAAGAAAAATTATAAGAAAAATGGCGTAGCATCTCAAAAAACAAAATGAGAAACTTTCTCAAAATAAAGAAAAACTCAAACTATTGACTTAAGATCTCAAAGTAATGAGAAACTCACTAAAGTCATTATTTTGAGTATTTTTCCCCCATCACACTGGCAGAAATGGGCTTCCATATTGTTCTGCTCCAGTGAGAGGAGGTAAAGAGTTAAATATTAATCCCTACTACTGATCTGAATGTGAACTGCACACTCTGCTGCCAGAATTTGCCAAGCTAAGAGCTGCTCCTCTGTTACTTTTGATCTTTGTCCTTCCTTCCAGCCTAGTATTATATTAGAAAACATGTGCAAAGGCTGCTTTATGACAGGCTAAGTCCTAAAAGCACCTGCAGGTTCAAATGTACTTAAGTAAAGGAGCAGAAGAAGTAGTAGCAGTAGAAGTTAATTAGCCTGATTCCATAAGCCTACACTGACTATACTTTTAACTTTACTTTTAACTAAACATGGACTTGAACCTACAAATATTTATACATATTGCAAAAAACATATGAATAAAATAATAATAATATTTATAATATAATAATAATAATAAAAAAATAAATGTGTCAAGCACAAGGAATTACCACATCGCAATTTCGTCAGCTAACTCACCCGAATCACTTGGTCAATAATTGCCCTCTATTGCAAATCACTCACCAAGGCCACGTTCAATCTGGCAACAGTGTGCACCATTTACTATAGTTTCCAGGTTGAATGACATGTTTACTCAAAATGTGTTATTTTCTTTCACACCAGATTTATGAGTTTGGAGGTATGTTTTCTCTTGTTTGTGGGTGTTTCAGAGGTGTTACCCAATCAGCAGTGACGGCAGTCTCCCATACAGATAAGGCAGAGATCATTGGCAAAGTAATTCGAGAAGATCCAGTAGTTCAGAAAATTTGTCAGAAGAAGGGAGATGAACAAGGCAAAGAGCAATGAGTCAGCATCCACATGTTAGACAGGAGGGAGGAAATCAAAAGATGTATTTGATGAACCATTGTCTTTGGCAGTGATGGTGAGAGCAATAAATAAATCAAGACCAACATCTGTAGGGGAAGTTCTGATATGATATCTTATGCTAAAGCATCTAGTTGCAACAAAGGGATAATAGAGTGTGAGGAGTGAAGATTACCAAGTGCAAGGAAAGAAGCAGCAGTGATTACAATAAGAAAACCGAGATCTGTCTAAACCCACAAGTTATAGGCTGATAGCACTAACATCAAATACATGCAAGATAATGTAGAGGATGACAAGGGAAACGTTATCTAAATAATACTAGTATCTCAGCAATGGGCATCTCGAGTAAAGCACTCCTGTGGTTCGAATCCTACCTCTCGGGGCGTTCCTACAATGTTTTGTGGCAAGGACAATTATCCTCCTCCCACTGCCTCTCCACAGGGGTGCCCCAAGGCTCAGTGCTAGGGTCCCTTCTCTTCTCAATTTACACCACCTCACTGAGGCCGATCATTCGCTCGCACTGCTTCTCTTACCACTGCTACGCAGACGATACGCAACTCTACTTTTCCTTCCTGCCAGGTGATCCCACCGTCTCGGCGCAGATCACGGACTGTCTCTCTGACATATCTGCATGGATGAAGGCTTGCCCCCTTCAACTAAACCTCTCTAAGATGGAACTCTTGGTCATTCCAGCCAAGCAATCTATCCACCATAACATCAAGTGAACGAAAAACATGGTTGACCGTGACAAACCGTTTGTGAAGTTTAGACTACACACAGTTGCACCCTCAGCACTGCCCTTGCTGTTAATTAAAAGTATGGCCGTTTTGATGAAAACTTGATGATGAAAGTGACTGAAGTGGTAATCCTCAAAAGACAGAAAATGTTGTACATTATACTTCCAAATGTTTAGGCTTTTTTCCCCCTTTTACTGAATAACTTTTGTGCAGAGAATATGACTCAGAGATTCTTTAGTGTAACCTAGCAACATATTTCTACACCAATTCACCTGCAGAACATGTTTTACTATGATAGTTTTTATACTTTTAATTAAATACATGCTTATATAAATTATGTTGCCTTTTAGTTCATGGTTAACCGTTTACAATGTGAGCTTCCAGGGGAGCTGACGTTGTTTTATGACGTCATTGAGCTACTACTCGTGAAGTCGGAGTCCAAATTTATTTCCCTCCGAGTTCACGAGTAGAAAATCCGACTTCAGGTGGCGTTAATTGTTACTTTTCTAGTTGGAAGTCGGAAAAATACGAGTTCCGAGTGACTGGAACGCAACACAACTATCTTTGGGCTGCTGCTCTACAGTAGGCAGATTCGGGTCGCATTTACAAAGCTATCTTACCGTTAGTTGGCCTCCCACATGTCAGAGAAAGTTCCTCCTGAGGAGAGCAACTTTACAAATGGCATCAGAAAGGGGGGTGTAATAAACACAGCCATGTAAAGGGGAGGGGTCGACCTTGTTTGCGCTGAATGACGTTGTTATTGCAAATTGAGTCCCTCCCACCCGAGATGCGAGCTGGAGGAGTCGAGGAGGAGACGCGAGGAGAGAGGAGTCGAGGAAACAGGCATTTTACGAATTGAGGGGCGAGTTCAATCTCAAAACATTTTGCACCGCGGTCTGCAACGTTTTCGGTTTGGACGACACGTTTCCTTGCAACATTGTGTAACGTTCCTCAACTGGCTTCCGATGTTTTCTTCTGTTTGGTGGGTGTCGTGGAAATTATATTCCTGGTGAGAGGTTGAGCAAGTAATTACAACGAACCGTTGTCTTTGAAGAATTTATTTAACAAAAGAGAATAAACAGAGAAGTACTACAACACAAATCAGCTGGGCCAGAGGTTACTAACGTCTGGCCCCGAGCAAAGAGATGCATCATTTACACAGTCTAGGTCTCTATGTTTTGGCGAACAGAGATCCTCTCTCGGCCTTGAATGAACATTCCAGGAGAGGAACAACAAGAGAGGAAAAGCACCAAAACAATCTCACAGCTCTGACCTAAACCCTAGTAAATGTGGACAGACTAACATAAGAAGTATAGGAGAGGAAAGGTTGAGGATAAAACACAATACATAATAATAATAGTAAAAGAACATACATAAAAGATTAAATTTAATATGAAAAGGAAGAGGACACAATTTTCTGCCATAACAGTGGGCGTGTCACAGCTGTTACCCAATCAGCTGCGATAAGTTTGTAAACACAGAGGTGTGAAAAAGGAAGGACAATGCAGTTCTGTTCAAAGAAACGTTTTGCCACGTTTCGTCGCCGCTGAACTCGCCCCAGGTTAATGTCCTCAGTCACATGACTTGCTCCACACAAAGGTTACATCAAACATTTAAAAAAAGACTAGAATATCCTGCTACTTACTTGGACAAACAATTAATCACTTTTCAAAATGGTTAATCAGTATTGTTTCAGCACTAAATAATACACTGTAACGTAGCAGTGAATAGCATTCTGAAAAATTATGCAAAAACATTTGTTTGATTGAGAAGCTTAAGCCTACTTTATTTTATAATTATTATTAGAGTATTGCTCTTACAAAAAAAAGCAACCATTTCTAATTAAATACATTTGAAGAAACTTTATAAGTTTCTTTATACATGTAAAAATTATAATTAATTAATTAATTTTATAACTTAATTTAGTTTATCAACGTTTTGGATTGATTGATTTGTTTATTTATCACAAATAAAAGAGATTTGAAACCGATTTTACATCCAGGATGTTTCTCTCGCATTAAATGAAATTTACTTGATTTACTTTAAAGAATTTACTTGATTCGAGATGAAAAAAGTATCGACTGCATCACGCACAGAACAAATGTAGCTATATAATACACTGTGAAACATTTTCTCCCTAGGTTGTTTACAGAGACCACATTTAGCTGGAAAACCAGCACAGATTTTCTGAATGATACATGTAAGGTATTTTACTTTGAAAATAACCTGTATATGTGTGTTTCTTTCATGATTAGATCATAACATATAGCCTTTTTGTTTGTTTGTTTGATTTAATTTCGTTTTGTTTGTTTTGTTTTCTATTTATTTATTTATTTACCTTTTGGTTCACTGAACCTGTAACCTGAAGTACTAAAACCATGATATTACACACTTCCGGTACAGTAGGTGGCGGTATGCACCTGAACAAGTTGGTTGCGATCCGCCATAAAACCCAGAGAAGAAGAAGAAGAAGAAGAAGTTTTTTTGTTATGAATGATTCTACCATAGGAAGTGACGAAGTCAGCAAACCTTGTGACGTTAGAAGGTGATGTAGAGGAATGCACAAAGCAAATTACAGAACACATTATAAATGCAGCACATTTAAGTATTCAAAAAAGAACAACAAAGGGCAGGAAGAAAGTGATCCCCTGGTGGAATGAGGAGTGTAGCAGAGCTGTAAAAGAACGAAACAAAGCCTTTAAAACATTAAAGAAGAATTTATCACAAGAGAGTGTTTTGGATTTTCAAAGGAAAAGGGCAGTGGCACGTAGGACAATTAAGTTAACCAAAAAAAATAAATTGGAGAGAGTTCTGTTCCATCATAGGTAGAGGTGTAGAGTTAGGGGATATATGGTCTATGTTTAAAAGAATGAGTGGGAAAAGGAAAGCAATTAAAATCCCAGCTTTGATAGATGGAGGAAAGACAGTGGTGTCAGACAAAGAAAAGACAGAGATGTTGGGTAGGGCTTTTGCGGCTGTGCATAGTGGTGATCACCTTATGGATATTCATAAGCAACAGAAAGACCTGGCACTCAGAGAAAATAAGGACGTGAAGCTGAAGAGGGACGATGGTACAACTTTAGATGTGGATTTTACAATAACAGAACTCAATATAGCTCTGCTTGGCACGGGATATACAGCCCCAGGACAAGACCAGTTATGTTATGCCATATTCCATCAGCTGCCAGTAGAGTCAATTAAGCTAGTGTTAAGACTGTTCAATAAAATATGGAAGGATGGAATAATACCGAGATGTTGGAAAAGTGCAGTTATACTACCGTTTAGCAAACCTGGTAAAGACCCAACCAATCCTGGTAATTATAGACCCATAGCTCTGACATCACACTTATGCAAATGGATGGAGAGGATAATAGTTCGTAGGTTATCACATGTAATGGAACAGAGAGGACTACTGAGTAATATACAAAATGGATTTCGGAAAGGGCGCTCCACAACAGATGCTCTCGTTAGAGTAAGTAATGAGGTAGAAAAGGCACTGAAAATGAAAGAGCTGATGATAATAGTGTATTTTGACATTGAGAAGGCATATGATACTATGTGGAGGGAAGGACTACTTATTAAACTAAATAGAATGGGGTTTGAAGGAAGTATTTATAACTGGATACTAGACTTTTTAACAGATAGGAAAATTAGAGTAAAGGTTGGATCAGAAATTTCTACAGAGTTTAAGGTAAATAATGGCATTCCCCAGGGGAGCGCAATTAGCCTTATATTATTCAACATTATGATTAATGATATATTTTCAGATTTAGATGGACGCATCAAATCAGCGTTATATGCAGATGATGGGGCCATATGGATGAGAGGAAGAAATGAGACATATGTGTTAGAGAACATTAGGAAAGCAATAGGGAAAGTAGAGAAGTGGTCATTCAAGTGGGGATTTAAAATATCAACAAGCAAATCCTGTTATATGGTGTTCACAAACAAGCGAAAGTGTCATGTAGAAAAGCTTTTTCTATATCAGCAGCCAATGGAAAAAGTAAATGAATTTAAGTATTTGGGATTGTGGTTTGATAGTAAGTACACATGGAAAATACACATAAATCAATTGGAAACTAAATGCAAACAAGTTATTAATTTACTGAGAGCGGTGGCGGGATGCGACTGGGGTGCAGATAAACAGTCACTAATTGACATATATAGAGCATGCATGAGGTCATCAATAGATTATGGTTGCATAGCATATGATGCAGCAGCAAAAACAACATTGGAAAAAATTAATAAATTACAATACAGAGCCTTACGGATATGCATTGGAGCCATTAAGACAACTCCCATTAACACAATACTCATAGAAGCTGGAGAGACACCACTGGAGTTAAGAAGAGAGAAACTAGCGCTAGCATATTGGGCCAGATTGAAAGGAAGTGGGAAAGAAAACCCTGCAAAGGAGATAACAAAGGATTGTTGGGAATATTTCAAGTTTCGGGGGCATGGGTTTGGATGGACGGGGGAAAAGAGAGTCAGGGAACACGGACTGGAAGTATTAGATTTCACCACACCCAGTCCAGTCAGTAACATTCAACCTTGGCTCTATCCAGACGTAAAAACAGATTTTAGTATACTGGAAAAGAAAAGAGGATGGGGAATAGAGGAAGTGGGAATACGGACTAGCAGCTATCTGAGAAACAGTTTCCATAATTATCTAAAAATCTATACAGATGGATCTAAAAACAAACAGGAATGTGTGGGAATTGGAATACATATACCAGAATTCAAAATAAATATCTCAAAATGATTATCAGGTAGGCTATCCGTATATACAGCAGAAATAGTGGCAGTCATTATAGCATTACAGTGGGTTGAAGAGGTCAGACCTGATAGGGTGATATTAAGCACAGACTCCTTAGCAGTTATTAAAAGCATTCAGTCAATGACATCTGTCAGAGAAGACCTACTGATAGAAATGTTTCACAGCTTATTAAGATTACATCGGGGAGGGATAGATGTTCAGTTTTGCTGATGAGATTGCAGACAAACTAGCAAAAGAGGCATTACAAAAGGAAATAACAGTTCAAATACCTCTAGGAAAAGGAGATGGAAAAACAGCCATTTAGAAGAAAGGTACTGAAATATGGCAGAAATGGTGGGAGGAAGACAGGAAAGGAAGGAGTTACTTTAAAATACAAAAGTCTGTCAGTAATAAAAATTATAGCAAAAGGACCAGGCGGGAGGAAATTATAATGACAAAACTAAGAGTAGATCACACAGGACTGAATGGCACCTTGTTTTTATTGGGGAAAAGGAATAGTGAAAAGTGTGAAAACTGTGGGGTTAAAGAAAATGTTGAACATGTCATTTTGCACTGCATATTGTTTGAGTTGGAAAGACAGATATTTCAAGATAGGGTTCAAGAAGCAGGGCGGGACTGGAATCTGATGGGGGTATTGGGAACAGAAGGAGAAGAAAATGAGAATCACCAGGAAGGCATTATTTAAATTTCTTAAAGACACTGGGAGAATATGAGAACACCTTATTGAGGTGAGTGATATGATGTTACACACTCCAGTACAGTAGGTGGCGGTATGCACTTAAAAGTTGTTTGCAATCCGCCATTAACTAAGAAGAAGAAGAAGAAGAAGAAGTTTTCTTTCCGGGTTCACCGCCGTTATTTCCGTGTTGTTAACAAAGTTTAGCCAGTCGAGTAGGAGGCCTAGTTTATCCTTTTATTAACGGTATAGTTTTGAAAACAATAAGCAATCGAAGTGATTATCGTTATTACGGCAACCTGAAACATTTCTGATAAAGTGCTCAGGTCGGTATCAGCTGTCTGGATATTTTGCCGAAACTGTTCCCCCGCTGCCAACAACAAAGCTAACATGCTAACAGGCTGTAACTTGTTGGTCATCTTCCGTGTTGTTGTAACGTTAGACGAGAAATACTGTTGTTAACACCCTCGGTTAAATGTTCACTTGGGTGTTAAGTTTTAGTTGAATGTCACGCCTGTCTTTGAGTTTTATTTAGTCACAGTGCTAACACACTGTAACGGGGTAACGTTAGCTATTGCTAATCGTTCAGTGTCTGTTGGGTGTGTGTGTTAGCTGTGTGCTCGGTTAGCCTGCTCTTTAAATAAACGTGACACATTCAGAGATAAGTTAGGTAAACCAATGGGAGATTTACTCCAGGTATTATGTGATCATTGAAACTACCTCTTCCTACAATCTAATGTTGTCAGATGCGGTGTTACTAAAAAGCTTTTTGTGGCAGCTGTGGCTGTTATTTCACTGAGACTTTAGCTAAAGTAAAAGTAAAGTTGCTTCCCATATTTTTAAAATTGTATTTCTTAGTTTAAGTTTGATGGGTTTTTTTTATATGTACAAGATAAAACGCCATGACTAAATTGTGGTTACATTCTACACACAGACAACAGGAAATAAGGAACTAAAGAGCAGTAATGCAATTGACAGTATTGTTACTGAAACAGCTTGATCCAACAGCTATTTTGTTCTGTTCTGTTATGTTGCACTGACCGTGTATGTTACTTGAAATAAGTTAATGCATTTCATTAAATTTAACTTTTGTGTTTCAGATTTGGATGTCACACTCAGGTCACACTGGATGGGCCAGCTGGTAGCAGTTGGGGCCAGCTGTTAACATCCTTTGGGCCTGTATGTGTAACGTTAGTCCGCAATGGCCAGTCACTTCCGTAGCTATATCTGGGACCCGGTCCTCATTGTTTCTCAGATTGTGTTGATGCAGTGCATCTACTACAGCTTCTTGGGCCTGTGGTTGGCTGGCGTGGACAGTCTTGTGCACAGTAGTCGGTCACTGGACCAGATCTTCAGCTATGAAGTAAGTTATAAGATCTCTGCTGCCTGTGCGACTTATGTTTGTAGCACATTTGTGCAATATCTGTATTTAAATGTTTGCTCTACTTTGGCAGGCCCTTGGTTTTGCAACAATACAGGGCAGGCTGTCGATGATGGCATTCATCTTGAACTCTCTTACCTGGTAGGTAATTTGTACATCCAAAGAGATGAGAGCTTTGACACTTATCTCATGATACAAACATTTTAAAGGACAAGGGAAAATACATTTGTTTACAAAGGATAAAAACATTTATAATAGATTTTGTTACATGGCAAGACTTGATCATTCACAATTTCGCAGGGGCATCTTTGTATCCACACAAATAATTTTTAGAGTATTTGTTTTGGGGCTTTTCTTTTGATAGTGACAAGTGAAGAGGTTGACTGGAAACAGGGGGAAAGGAGGGGTATGACATTTATGACAAGCAGCAAAGGTCACTGACTGGAATCCGGCAGCTGTTGTGACAATGCATCCATGTGGTTTGCCCTGTAACCATTCGGCCACCAAGGCGCTCCATATCAACATGAATCTTCTCTGAAAGCATGGCTGATGGCAACTTTTCTGTCTCACTGTTCCTGCAGCGCCCTTGGTCTGTGGTTCTTCATCCGTCGAGGGAAACAGTGCCTGGACTTCACAGTCACTGTGCACTTCTTCCATATGATTGGCTGCTGGATCTATAATGCTCATCTTCCAGCCGTCCTGTCCTGGTGGCTCGTCAATGTCGCCTGCATGGCGTTGATGGCTGTAATTGGAGAGTACTTGTGTATGCGAACTGAGCTCAGGGCCATTCCAGTCAATACTGGACCTAAATCTAACCTGTGAATTATTGTTGAAACCACACTGAAAATCTGGACGGTTAACCCTGGAGGAACTCGCCCAGAAGAGGTCACTGAGAGTGAACCTCCGTCAGCTACGAAGTTGGATTGTCATCCATCTCCTCTTCAAGTGATACAACAGATGAACCGATCTATTTATTCATATCTGTCAGATAAATGTTGGATAGTATTAACTCTGTAGCATATTAAGATATATGTATTAACGTTTGTGAAAGCAGATGCCGGTTTACACCTTTTCCATCAAGCTAATTATTATAGATATGATTTTGTTTTTTTAGTAATTTAATTATTTCATTAATTTTAAGTACATAAGCATGAGCATGCCATTCTCTCATTTCAGTGAGATCGTGTTGTTGATAATTACTTGTCAACAACCAGACATTTTTCTTCTCTCTTTTGTTGATATAATTACAAGCTGTGTGGGTTGGAAAACAAACGTAACCATCATTTTACAAATTTCTTTTTTTTGATGAAAATGTTCCTGGTTCAACTCACTGCAATTTAGAAATGCCATTGTGCGAAGTTACCTCTCGCAGCTTTTATGAGTTTTTCTTACAGCTGCATCTGAAAGTAAAATATGGGTATGTTTAAACAGGTATACCATAGTTTTCTGACATACAATAGCCAATAATTGTGTACGCCCAAATGTAGGAGAGAGTATAAGTATAAAAAGATTATAAATATTTTTTTCCTTTCTGGATAAAGTTTGTACATTCAGTCTCATGATGCCCATTTTAGGCCTTCCTCGTCACACTTGTACAGCATTTTGCACTGCTTGTGTTGTTTGTTTTCATCTCTTTATGTAATGATATATTATGCAGACAAGGTGGCCACTTTGGGGACAGCTTTGTCGGCTGTGCTCGTGTTTCTGAAAATACTACCACCGCTTGTGGGAATGTGACTTGAAAAGTACTGTCATGTGCAGCGCTGATGGTTTCTGGAACAATTTCAGCTTTCTTATGTAGTGATGGCTAAAACGGATAAAACACCTGTTTAGTAATAATTTGCAGTTAATTTAGAGTAAGATTAAGGATCCTGTAACACATAATCATTCTCTTTTTATTCTGTGTGGTGACTGTCAATCAAACCATTGCAGCTTTGACTGGACTAAGCAGTGTCTTATTTTGAAATCATACTTCTAAAGTGTAGTATAAGCACATTATTAAGCTGCAGGGGGTGATAATTGATCATATTTAAAAGTTGCACAATAGTTGGACATTTTGGGAAATACACTTAGTTGCTTTCAAGCTGAGCGTTAGATGATCAATACCATTCACTTGTCTGTTCATTAAATATGAAATTTCAGCCAGTTTTCTTAGCTTAGACTGGAAACTTGGAAAAAGAAGGGGAAAACAGCACCTCTTAAGCTCACTGATGAGCACATAATATCTTAAAACTGAAGTGTAAAAATGACAAGTTGTGGTTTTACAGGGCATATGTACCGAACTATTTCATGGCTGGGTAGTGACTTCCTGGAATCAACTTAACATCTGTTGGGACAACAACCTACAGAGACTGGTTGTTCGGCAAGCCCAGCTTCTTTCTTTTTAACTTTTCAGTATTTGTACAAATAAAACCGAAATAACAGGTTAATTAGTAGCATAAAAATGAATAAACACACTTCTGGTGCACTTTAGAGGTGAAGGTGGGTGTCGTTTGTTACCCTTGAACAGACCTTGGTTAGCTGGTTCCCTCTGTTTCCAGTCATTATGGTAAGCTAAGCTAACTGGCAGCTAACTTAACTAACTCGGCAAGAAAGCAAATAATAAAATATCCCAAAATGTCAAACATTACCTTTAAGTTAAGTTCAAACTTGTGCTCTTTTAAAGCCAGTGTCAACTACTATTGGATTATTTCTAGCAATGGCTGCTTCGCAAGTTTTCACATGCAATGCCACCTTGGTAGTCTTTAAACATTTTTGTAACTTAAACTTTTATATATATATATATATATATATATATATATATATATATATATATATTTAAACTTGAGAGATGGACCTATTCATGAAATTCAATTATTTGAGTTGTTTCTAGTGCAGAAACATCTCAGACAAGGTGCACATATTTCTTTCCTCCTTTCTGAAGGTTTAAATCTAAGGAGTTTGCACCATCATCAAGAAAGTATGGTACAATGCAAGTAGATTTGTGCATATGATGTTAAATAAAACACTACCAGTTCATAAGGATTGTAAAAAACAAAAGTGTGAATCTCAGTCAGGAAACTGTAGGTGAAAAAATAATTGGCCATTATGCTTCAGATGTCAAAGATAGGTCTTCTAATGAGGGACACACCACAAGCATGTCTTTGGATGTCTGAAAGTTTTCCACCCCGGGCCCTGATCCCTCATTTTCTCCCTCCTCTGCTGGAAGTGTCCAGGTGGAAAAAAGCAGATGGGAGAGCGCTAACGAGTTCAAAGATGCTAGTTGTGATCCTCATTACCGACACTCTGCTTCAGGGGGGGCTAAAAACAGAAACTCTGTAGTAAATGAGTAGTACAGAAGGGGACTCACTGCTTCGATTAAATGCTCCACTATTTTACCACTTTGTGTTTCTAGATCTTTGCTATCCTTTATTTTGCTGAAGGTGTTGCACACACACACACTGTATGTTTTTAACATGGTGCTTTATTATTACAAACACATTATTTTGCTATAATTGCTTTATTACAGTCTTGTAAATAGTGTGCTTTTATATCAGTAAAATGAAAAAATGAAAACAACGCATGGACACTGAACTTGTTTTTACATTCAGAAGTTCCTTCCATGTTTAAACTGTCATTAGGGTTCATTTCTTGTGGTATAATGCTTATGATAACACAACCATTTTCATGCTTTCTTCAACAGCATATGAAGGGATAAGTGTCCTCTCTTAAGAAGTGACCGTACATATTGCTCATGCTTTGAGGACATCACAACTGGGTTTTTATTGTCACCACCAGAAAGACAAATTAATGCTACCACTCCTGAAACATGAAATAAATAGAAACCACTAGAACAAACATGCTAATGAAGGTAAGGGAAGTGGAGGCGGGCAGGTTAATGAATCTGCATAAAGAGGATGCTGATACACAGAGGAGCTAGCTTAATTTCATGCACAGATCAATACCACTGCACACTTTGTCCAAGGTACAATCAACAGACTGTTCATTATTGTGAAGCATTATTACTAAAACTATCATGCATTTGTGATAAAAGAGTTGATGGGAAAACATTCAGGACCACAGAAATCATCCATATTTTGCTAATGCCTGTTGGGAGCATTGTATTAAAGGAAATATGCAAATGAGGACAGTTTTGGGAAAACAAAACCAAACCAACAGAACAAATTGATGCTATTGCTCATTCATTTTTACTGTGCTCTGAATCTAGGCGACTATTGCAGTAATAGTTAAAAAAAAAAAAAAAACTTACCTAAACCTAAATACTAATTTCATAGTGAAAAATCTCACATGGTTTATTGGCTAAATGAATGGATGATACAAACTGTAGCACCCATTCGCTTATTTCTGTCGATGAGCTTCACTTCATGCGTTCGTGGTTGCTTCTGAAGCTTAACATTTGTGCATTTTGTGCAAAATCAAATCAAGGTTTCTCAAGATTAAATCGATTAGGAGCATGAGACAGATAAATGGGGAAGCAGAGTTTGGAATCTATATACTTTTATAATAATAATTATTCATCATTATTATTCAGTGCATACAAAAGGAATTGTATGGATTTTTAAAATAAAAATAAGCTATTATTTCATATTACACCAGATTTTAGTTTTGCTGTTGTATATATTTTGATATCACGAGATGTTAATTATAGGTATTTAAAGTGAAAAAAGGTATATGATAAAATATGGTTATTTGGGTAATTTTATATGCCTGGCTGCATTAGATTCTTCTTTGAAAATCTGATCTTTGAAACATAATCGACCCCTGTGTAGTCTATCTGCATACTATCTGGCATACTGTGTTTGTGCAGTACTTAGTCTACTTTAAAGTGTAGTTTTAGTTATATCGTGTTAATTGCAAGCAAGCATTTGCACACAAGGTTCATAAGAAATTAGTGAGACAACACTGAACATTCTCAACACAGATTTTCTTTTTCATACAAACATCAAGAAGTTTGATCAAGCATAGACTAAACCAAAATGTGGGGCGAGGCTCTGTGAGAAGTGAGGATGTGATACCGTGTCAGATGTCTGTTTTTGGTGTCTTTGTAGCAGCCGTGCAACATCGGCCACAGTGGGCCGAAGTTTTTTGAGGGGAAAAGGGGTCAAAAGTTTTATACAAGTGGCCTGATTGTCACTTACACAAACATTTACAACACACTGAAACAGATTAAAGGGGCATTCACCTTTAGTACGTCTGAACGTTGTCGCCAGCTTTGGTGTAATTAAGTCAGATTTAATGTCTGGTTCGGTCTTACAGTTTGGTCCTTTCACTGATTAATAAGTCAACAAACAGTTCTGTAATGACTAAGAGCTAGATGTTGCTAAGATATTGCTGTTTTTTTGGTGAAGTGCTCCTTTAAATGTTTTCTCGTAAAGTGATAGGTAATTACATCATGTTGGCTTGGCTGTATTTATACAAACTGATTTCAATTGGTGTTTTGGTGTCCAACATACACTATAGCTCTTTATTTAAAGGAGTAGTTCAACCTATTGAGAAATATGCATATTTGCTTTCTTGCAGAGAAGCAGGTATGATAATTGATACCACTCTCATGTCTACATCTAAAGCTACAGCCAGGAGTCAGTTAGCTTAGCTAAAAAACAGTGGGAAACAGCGAGCCTAGCTCTGTCCAAAGGTAACAAAATCCTACTACTAGCACCTCTAAAGCTCACTTTAGATTACATTTTAGATCTCATTTGTTTAGTCTGTACAAAAGTGTAAAAACAACAAGTTGTGGTTTTACAGGGAGCTATGTGCTGAACTATGTTTTGGCCAGGAGCAGCTGTAGGAACCATGTGCAAAGCTACGCTAACCGGCTGCTGGCAGTGTCTACATCTTAAGCATGCAGATAGGAGATTGGTATAGATCTTCACAGCTAAATCCCAAAATGTTGAACTATTCCATTCACTTTCACAGTATGACCATATAACACATGATAAAGGGAGTGGACACAAAACATCAACACCTTGCTGCCTTATAATATACAGGCCTACTGTACATAATATAGGGAAAACCGGTAGCCTAAAACTCCACAAATAGGCCTACTGCTTAAAAAATGAGGCCAGAGTTGAATCCATAAAAACAGAACACAATAATGTTCATAAATATAGTATTCATTGCAAAGCTCTTGTCTTGGTTCGCATTAGATTGTACAAGTGTTCATGATATTGTGTCCACTCCTTGTATATTGGTAACCCAGAGCCACAGGTGTCTGACTGTATACTGATCAGACTCTGCTCACATTGTATCTGAAATCTCTTGACTACTTGAAAAGTGTATGCTTTAGTCCGTTTGGACTGATATGTTGGCAGAGATTAAATTTTCTCAAATACTCTGTCGGCTTCTAGACATAAGGGAGGATCAAGCTGAAGTATTTGGGAAGATATCAAACATTATTCATCACAGCAAATATTGATTGGCTTGCCTCAGACCTCTGTGGCTCTGTGTCAAAATAATCCTTATTAAAACATTTGTCTTTCTTAAATCCTTGGCTGTAAGTTTGAACTCAGGAGGACTGAACCCCGGGGAATTTGAGGCCCTCCTCATCCCCAACCCCCATTTATACAGATGACCAGTCAGGCCCAGTCACAATCAGCATGCCTATCAGTGGCAGGGTAAGGGCAGCAAGAGTTGAGCTTATGCTGGGAGAGGAGCTGGGGCTGCACAGGTCGAACAGACTTCCCTGGAAGCGCATCTTCCTGGAGTCCTGCCTCAGAGTCTCCCAGATGGAGCTGACTTCCTCCTGACAGTCGGACAGCGCTGTGAGGGCACATGTATGGAAAGCTTCCCAGTGGCTGTGGCAAACAAAGGATCATCAGATCAACGCGGGCGTCTGCTGTTACACTCAAGAGTTCATACCGGCTACAGCACACAGACGTGCACTGGCTGTCGCGGATGAATTTGCTCGCCAATAATCTATCACTCAGATGGTGGCTTCAAGTAAGTCAAACTGAGCTTTAATTACCATGGCAACTGCATCAGAGAGTGAAACAATATCACAGATGATATTGCAAGTGGGCAATTTTCAACAGAAGGCTTATGTGTAAATCTTTGTCTTCAATATCCTGTGGCGAGGTTGTAGAGTGCGTGCAGTAACAATGACAAAAAACGTCCCCGGAATTTCATTACTGCTGCAGCAAAGTCATAAATTATTTAGTACGATGTGCTCAGTGTCTCAGCACCATTCAATTCTCTATTCTCCCTCTGAGATTATGGCATCTGCTCTTTTTCTCTCCAGTATTTTGTCATGATATGCATACTTCATACTGTTTTTGCCTGTGTTATTTCACTCAGTTGTGCACTATTTCATACAAATTGAACTGAATACAGTTCTGTGCACAGTGCCGCAGACACTGAAGGTTTTTTCTTTAAGACAACCCATCACAGCTGGATTGTCTTAAAGCTCTTGCCTTCTCTAGTTAAAAGTGGCTTAGTTGGTAGTGCAATTGGTTCAAATAAAAACATACACCTCTGCTGGGGACGTCCCATGTGCACAAACGTGTGCTGCATGGTGCTCACACACTCTCTTACAGATGAAGTTATTCTCACCTGCACACGGCCGCCACTCCCCTCTCACTGGTCACGTTCTCCTGATAGTTGTCCATGCTCTCTCCCAGCTCCAGGACACAGTCAGAAAAGTCCTTGTAAATGTTCTCACACCTCACATCTTCAGAGTCTCCTGACACCATCAGGGACAGGAACACTGCATGGCAGACACAGGGGACCGCTTATTTGACTTTCTAAACCTGTGATGTTCGGCCCTTCCTAAACTATTTTCTTCAAATGGATGAAGTTTGAAAGACAAATGAGAAATGCACAAGCAACAGTATTCAAATCTTTTTTTTTTATAATAACTTGGTTATTTTGTTAGGTGTGAAGTAGTTTCAGTCTATTTCTCTGCTACCAAGCAGCTTAACAATCCTGATCATTAAAACCACTGTTAATTTAAAGATTTTGCAATCCTGTTATCTGAACTTTACTTTAGACAGATGTCAGTGGGCGGTGAAGCAGATGTTACCACAGACTGTCCTGACCACTGCAGCCCATTCCCTCCACATGGGATGCAATACTCTGCTCAGAGCTATTTGCAATTTAAATGCTAAAACATGTCAATAATACAACATTCTGCAAGAGGACGAGACAAAATAAGCGCTATTAAAGCAATAAATATTACTAAAAGTGGCATTTTACAAAAAATAAATCAATTTGTGGGGTTTTTATTTCTGAATGTTGCACGTCCAAAAGCTTGCGCGCTATCACCTAAGTATAGACACCAAGCATCTATCGTCGATGGGTGTACTACAAGCAAGCTGTTGGCCACGGCACAGGTCTCATGACCATCACGCAACACTGATGGGGATAAATAAAGATCATAGCGGTGATGTCTCTGATGCGCGAAGATAAAATAAGATGCAAGGCAGTTTTCTCTGTCAACCCACCCAAAGTCGCTCACAGGCTAAATAAACCCACGGCGGAGCTTGAGGTATCTTACCCAAGGCAAACGTAAGAATCCCTTCGATCTTCGTCGACATGAAAAATCCCATATCATCCCATTTCAAGCCAAGCGGAGGGCGCGGGATGCTGCCGAGGCACGCGGGAATCGCGATTAAAAAAACAAAACAAAAAAGCAGCGGTGAGTCACACGGAGCTGATTAGCTGCCCATCACTGATGTGTGCCGGTGTGTATCAGTGTTTAAGCGGCGATAAACACTTGCTGGGTGTGTATGTACAGTCTTTCCCTGCTCCGGCCGACTGCTGACGTTACCTGCCCCCCGGCGCGCGCTGAGCTCATCTTCCCCCCTCAGCACCGGACAGCTCTCACCTCCCCGAGGAGGAGCACCGCAACACTCACGCAACACAGGGAGGACTCTCTCTGTGAGGATGTCTTCATAGCTTTATCTTACTATTCAGATTTTAACCTGTGATGTAGGGACTCGATTCTATCCCTAAAGTATGCTACAGCAGATAATATATTACACATGGACCATGAGCCTGCGTTGTTCCGTGTCGTTCAATTTCCATAGAAAAGGTTGGTTGTTTACACCTTTTTACAATTATTTTACATTTTCCTAATAATTTCCTGGGAAGAATAATGTAATTGGGGAGTAATCACAGGCGTATACAGAGACAAAGTTCTGAGAAGTTTTATTTTAGTTACTTTCTTTGGTTGTGTTGAGTTTAAAAGTAAGTATACTCTTTATCATATAAGCTTAAGGAAAATAAGACATGTTGCATGGGGGAAACACAGATTGGATAAATGATTAAATGTGTGCAAATACCAAAAGAAAAAAGAAGGAAAACTAAGGAGGCGAAAAATAAATAAAAGAGTAAAATAAAGTTTTAATTTTAACTGTCTGGAGGTAAGGAAAAGTATATCATTTTATATTTCCTTTTACACATTTATTTGACTAACTGTATTATTTATTCACATATTCAGCTATATTTTTCGACTCCTCTGATAACCATAGCCCTTTTTTTTGTCTGTTTTGGGCCTCCACATAAAAGCAGTTTCCAATGTCTAATTATGCTTACTTATATTTTTCATGTTCAGGCTACCTGCTGCGCACCGGCTGAAAGACTGGGTTAATATTTATTTGGAAAAAATTAACTAAATGCAACAATACCCTTTTCAATTAATTTGTTAGTTTATGCAAAATAATTTTTTCCCCCTGGGACAATGTCTAGAAAATTATAAGAAATGTATGGACCCATTAAAATATTGGGTTACTAAAAGTCTTGCATAATCTTTGTGGCTTGAAACATGTTATTAGTGCTGCAACTAGTCCAATATTAGTCAATTAATTGATTAGTTGATCGATTAGGAATGAATCCTCAAATATTTTCCTAATCGAGAAATCGGGTGACATCTATGATATTGTTTTCTGATGTTTTGTAGACCAAATGATTATTCAGTTGATAGAGAAAATAACTAGCAGCAAACAATTAGGAAAATAATCAATTACAGCCATACAGGTCATTTCCTTGAGTGACAAATGTTGTAATTTTACTGAAACTAAATCTAAAGCTTTAGATTGCATGAACCACCCCCCTAAAAATACACTTTGTTCACCCTTTATTGTTTTTAAAAACAACACAATCTAAACGATTGTTGGCACTTAGTAAAGCGTTGCTCCACCAACAGGTGGATTACCCTGCAGAAACCTCCACAGAACACTGTTTTAATGTTTGGTGTAACTGCAGCTGCCATTGCCCCACGAAAAAACCAAATCTGAACTTTTACAAGCCTCAGGCCACATGGGACCGGATGTTAAAAGCAGAGGGGTATCAGTGGGGAAACCTTTTAATCAATGTATGCATGTATTTTTTCCTGACATTAAGTTTTTGCAGGACACTGCAAATACAGTACAGGTAAGGCACAATGGTGTTTACACAATGGAGAGGAGAGGGATTGTCATAAAAAGTCATAAAATGTAATTGATCCTAATAATGTCAATAGCAAATCTCCAAATATAATGTTGTTAAATCCCAATGCAATTATGACAACGTCATAGCATTAATACGGGCAGAGTGTTGATTGAGCTTTCTTTTGGGAGGCAGTTTGTACCATGTTTCCTTAGTTTCCTATGAAATTGTAATGACTTTTTGGCTCATCATTTCACACACACACACACACACACACACACACACACACAAGTTCAGTCCTGTTGGTGTCGAAATGGTCATGCTCTAATCAGAGCAGTAGAGTTCAACAGACCAGCAGAGCAGCAGGCAGAGATCTGTACAAACATCTTCAATGGAAATTGGATTCCAGGAATGTTGGTCCATTGTAAAAGGCAATCAGGTTTCTGTGGCTAGGAAATGAGCGTAGAGAGCCTGATGGACAGTATGATGATAGATGGAAAAGGAGAGCTTTATTGATCTGCTCCAGCTGCCCTATTGGTGCGTTTCCGTGGAGATGCTTTAGGGGAAGCCCTGTCTGTAAGACAGGATGTGAGTGAGTATCAGTTATTTGTGTATCAGTTATTTTCATGAAGTGTAACAGTAATGTGGGCAAACTATCGCCTCTCAAACAACTGCCAAAGTCTGTTATCACTGTAAAAATGAACATACTCATAACATTGAGAGTCTCCTGAGGAATCCAGCTGATGTCCACATCATTCATCCCGCCGGTGCCCTTCTCTATTTTCACAGAGATTCTCTTTTTCTGCAAAACACAGGTTGAAAGACAACGTGTCTTCATTTTTAAACCACGGTATGCACAAGCCTGCTTCAATTTATCCCCGTTTAAGGAGGAACAGGGAGGATGACGCATGTCACCCCTTGTTAATCTGCACTCTATTCCACATTCTGCTGCTGGCTTTCCACAAAACATTTTTATTACATTTGCATTAGTAACACTGAAAATCATTACTTTTCCCACCTCCCAAGACCATATGTGGACACAGCTGATGGAAGACAAACACATACCGTCCTTGTCTCCAGGACCTGGTACATCCCAAAGAGCATCAGAACCACCAGTCCAGTTAGGAAGATGTACATGAACATTCTGCAGAAAACACAAAACCATTTCTGCTAATCAGTAAACAGAAGCTGCATGGTTCCTCTGTGTTTTTGCATGCCATAATACGTGAGTGGCCCATGCCTACTGGATGACCGCAGACACAAATTAGACCTGGACTGAAATGCAATTTACTTCCCTTACACACAATGCATGGTCACAGTTTGTAGCCATCTGTGTTCCAAATGCTTTTTTTGCGATGCATTTCTTTTAAGTGTCTGTAGCAAACAGTCTAGTTGAAGATGGTTGTATGGACAAATTTGACCTCACCTAATTATTCTGCAGTGTACTTAGTAAATATATGCATAAATAAATAAGTCATATTGATTGTCAAAAACAGCACCATTCAAACATGTAGCTCCATTCATCAGCAATGGCAACTGCTAACTTTCAGCATAAAGACTAATCCAACAAAATTGGCCCATTTGAACTTTAAAGTCACCTTCAAGTGACCTGTACCTGCAACATTTTCTTATCTGTTTTGAGATTTTAGGATGGAAGACATTTTCTTTTGCTTGACTAATTTACTGGTGACAGTTTCTGTATCTTGCACCACAATTCTGACAACTAATCTCTTTGTGCCAATTTCACACCTCTGTTTACAGGTTCTTACATGCGCTGCAAGGAAACGGAAAGCTGGTATTATGAAGCCTTACAGAGCGGGATGCAGCCATAACAGACATGGATAACAAGTAATAGGTGGGCAAAATAATTAGATTTACACAATATTTACATAGAACTGAGATGGGTTTAATATGTCCACCCAATGCCTACACTGATTTAGTCTGAATTGATGCTACATTATAGCTTGCGATCTTCATCTCTTTTTTTGCAGAGAAATAATACAGCTTTATCTACATTTTCATTCACAGGTATGTACATAATAGGATTTAACATAAACCCAGTAGAAGAAAGCCTCACGTTTCTCCGTCCAGTCCCTCTTCTCGCTCAATGATGGTGACAGTCTGGTTGTAGATGGCCGTCTGGAACACGCTGCCCTGAAGAAAAATGTAAAAACTAGTAAACAAGTACATTGAACTTTCAAGAACTTTTTAGAGCTGCTCTTTAAAAATCATGACATCACTGCAACTAAACACTTCATTCGACAGTAGCATGGAAACAAAAGTCATAAGAAAATAATGACAGTAAGGAGCTACCAGTAGTCCCAATTATACAAAAATGGAAAAACACAGCTGTTACATGAATATAAAGAAACTGCTTTGCTGACAATGGCTTCTGCGGGTGTTCATTTTCATGAATCATCAACATTCAAGGTGGGCTGTGAAAAGCATCTTGACAGTCACCGTCTAACATAATCACACTACACTCTCTTCTGTGAAAACCTGCACAGACCTCAAGCACCAACCACCACAAATATTATAAACAATAAAAAAAAACTTTCTTACCTCAGTGTCAAGATAGTTGAGGAGGATTACAAGACCGAATGGACGGCCTGCCATGGGCTGAGCTGGGATGAAGGAGTACTCGAAGGAAGCCTGAGCTTGGGGGTGCACTACAGTGTTCAGAGGCAGCGCTGTGAACTACACAAAACATACTTTTATTTAAGTAGCAGGACAGACAGCAGAACAGGGTCCTATCTTGTTCTCAAACATGCATGTACAGTAGATACATACATTAAAATACTATTTGTTTTGGTCGTGTAAAAAACAAAATGTTTCAGAAATGAGATGGCATCAAACTCAAATTAAAAAGTGTGCAATTGCAACAAACTTGGGCTTAATGGTTTTAATTCCCTACATGTGAATATTTTATAAACCACTGTATCATTCAGAATTACAATTTCACACTATAATACAACTATATACCAAAAACATTTGTTGAATACAACTTGTTGATCACCTCAAAGTGAAAACAAATCAACACGATTGCATTTTTAAAATTATTCTGCTGTGTATCCAACTCAAAAGGTAGAGCGATGTTTGCTGGTGGCGTCTTTTCAGATCCAACTTACATTCTGAATGTAGAACTGGAAGTCTTGGGGGTAGCGGAAGGAGGCCTCCAATGACTGGACGGTGAAATCCTGACTTCCTTTGTTGGTGAAACCCACCAGGAACCGCACGATTTCATTGGCAGGAAACTCTGAA